GCTGTGGTCAACTCATCTAATAAACTACTTTAGTATCTGGTATTTCTTCTTCTTGACACAGACAATTGGGGTTTGGAGCTCAAAACGCCTTTAAAATCCAAATAAAATGCATATTTGTCAATCCCAGCACATGTACTGATCATATACGAGTATATCAAAAAAAACTTAATATAAGCCGTTTTGAAAAAATTTCATATTTCAACATCTATATTATAGAGTTCCAAACCCCAAGTGTCTGTGCTTCTTGATATTGTATTTTACTATCTCATGTATCCGCCATCAGAAAAATGTAAAGTTTAATCAATTGTTTACATAATGACTTAAGAGTGTGTACTTTATAACAATAGAACAGGTAACACTCCAAAAAAGTCAATCTTATACATGTAAATGCAAAATTTAACATGTCGTATTTTCCCAAAAATTGACATGTCATATTTTTGCACATGTTGACAAGAAACAAACCTATGCCAGTTGTTTTGTATATAATTCTCTTCTTTAAAGTTACTACGCATCACATCCAAGGCAACAGATCAAAATAGGTCAATTCAACCTCTCATTGAAGGCAAGTACTTCTTTGCGGTTCATACAATGCTTGATTCAAATAATTTACTGTGTATTTCTAAAGCAGTAAATTTGATAAAACTTGATAGTCAGGTGGGATACATACATACCAAGTTACCTTTTACTTTACAAATTCCTACCCAATTATTGTTTTCTTATAATATAATTAGGCCTAACAGTTAACTAATATAAGTAATATTTAACTAAATTAAAAACACAAAAACACATACGGCAGAGATAACCTTATATTTAAACCCTCTTTTAAAGCCATCTTCAGTAACATCCTTGCATTTCTTTTACAACGTTCGTGTCGTTAATTTTCAGTTGATGAAGACAGTCTTGGTTGTTTTCTTTTCATTCGAGCGGAATTGTTTCTGATATCAATTAAATAAGCAAATCATTAATCACATCCAACTCAAATTCATTCAAATCTTGTATACTTTTGCACACAATGTGTACGATCTGAAAATTCAACCATGATTTTGGTAACATGGTGTTGTCGATATTTTCCATCAAGAGCAAAAGAACAGGTTTTCCCATAACGCACGCAATCTCTAATTGACTTTTTGCATACGGATCTTCCAAAAACTCAGCTGATACAATGGCAACCACTACATATGAAACGTTAAAGAAGTGTTCGGTTTCCTGTAGTTTTGATCTTCCAGGCTTGAAATATACGTCTTCCAAACAAATCAACTTGAAAGGTTCATCTCTCTTGAAGACAACATTCAAACGTTCATATAAAGCTGGAACAAAGTGATCCAGGACTAACTCAACATCATCACCAAATAGCAGGAACACCGGGAAACGATTAACGGTTCTATTTCGTATGTGAAATCTTATCTTTTCCACATTTTGATCTTTTTTCATTTTTGGCCTCAGAGACAGACAATACCAAACCGAAACTGTCGTAAAAGAAATTACCGTTAAAGGAACGAAAAGGTAATGAATAACATTTTTCAACAACGGAGGTCTCTTGACAGATGTTGACAACGATTCCGAAACTGTAACACCAGACCGAAAAAATGTATTTTGTACTTTACATATATTCCTTTCATCGAATAATAAAAATAACATGAAAGAATCAAAATATTCCATTTTTTAATTTTACAATTCGGTCACTATATATGTCATTTATAAAGTATAAGAGTATTTTATTTAACTTCCGCTTTTTTATTCATGAATAAAGACTGACCTAATTTTATATTCGTAAAAAAATCTTTACCCGTCTACAAATTATGGTGGCCAATTTGAAACACTTTTCTGCGTCGTGTTGTCGCTAACGACAGTACGACAAAGCACCAAACGGCGCGTTGTCGGACTTTCGTCTTGTCGTCCTGTCGCTAACGATGTTCGCCAAACGGCGGGTTGTCGCGCGGCGTGTTGTCGCGATGTCACATTGTCGCTCGGCTCAAATCGAAGGATTGGCTATTATTATTTATATGAGCCAAGCGACAGGGTGACAACGCACCGCAGGACAACGCACTGTTTGGCGTGCTTCGCTAGCGACAAGACGAGTGCGATAACGCTCTGATTCTCTTTTTTGCATACATTGTACTCGTGTGATTGAGTGTAGAATCCCTTTTTCGACAATATGAAACATTTTGCTTTGGCGCTAAATATATGATGGCTACAATAATGGCTGTGGACTGTTTAGCGATTTTGTCTGCAATTATTTTCGTAAGAAGGGCACTATATCTTAGGGAGCCCATCCTGAGCTAGCCATTAGACAGATTATAATCACTCGGAGGGCCCCTGATATGTCAATATGTGGCAGGACAATAAGTCAGGAAACATGGTTCCCGGTGCTCGTATAGAATGGGCTTTATCATGTACGTGCGGTGATTTTTAATTACAGTACAACTGTACGGAGTTTCGTCATAAGTCCACCGTACACTAACAACTGGTCCGTTTTCGTTGCAGTTTACCAGGGAAATATCTTGGACGCTCCTTGTTAGGTCAATATCAGGCACATGAGAAAAACCTTAGAAACATTGCCCCGAGAATCCCGCTAGGCATGTGTTTTATCCACTGCTGTGATATGTTCCCTTTGTAAATAAATCCTACGAATTTTTGTCCAGAGACAATCGTGACCTATCCATTGGTTCGATGTCGTTACGACTTGGCCAATGTTGTAGCTGGAGGCTAAATACCGGTATTAAGGTCAAAATGAGGCACATGACGATAGCAAAGAAACATGACCACCAGACGCCTTCTTGGCGAATTGTTCTTTCTGTATACAAACTCTACGATTTAACGTAAAAAGCATGTTTTAAAGAGTCACATACTTTACGCCAATATAAGGCCAAAGAAAAATGACTATACTAGATGCCCGGGTGACATAGGTTTTATCCAGTGCGGCTATTTGTGTGATGTCCTATATATCAATTTAAGTCACTTCGTTGACATTAGAAATATGGCTGAAAAAGCTCGTATTGTATGGGCGTTTTCGCTGATAAAGCAAGTAATTAAAACTTTCGTGAAAGTGCAAAAGCTTGGAGGGTAGCCTTTAGTTCAATTTAAGGCACATTTCAGGTTCTTTCTGTAAAGGTTTCCTTTTAACAGCCATAGTTGTACATTTGATTTACACATTTTGATTAAAACATATACAAGGCATCGCAGGATGTATGTAACCGGACTTTAGACACCGCAGTCGAAAATTTGAGTTTTGCCGAACATATATGTTTCTACAGGTGGTTGTTACATCAATTTCTTCCCAAAAATTAATCATTTTGTGAAAATTTAAATTATTGATTGCAGATAAGAGACACACTACTACCTTGTTTTTTTTGTTGTGTTTTTGAGGTTGCCCATTTGGCTAATGACTCTATAAGAAAGCTTTAAAATTGTTTGCCCCATCAAAGGTTATACGTATGAGAATGAGATGTGTTGTGAGAGTGGCAACATTACGTGAGATAACTTTCCCTTAAACAATGTCGTAATTATTTCGCTTATCTAAAATATCGCACCTGTAAATGTGTTAAATATTACATTTGAACAGGATACGCAAAATCACATGTAGGTGGTTATCTAAAAACAAGGTAACTTAAACCTTTATTGCTCAAGTGGCCGTGCCAGTTGTAGAATCATTCCTCTGAAATACTGATACATGTACGTTATTCCTCAACATATATTTTGTATCAAATATAATAATAAGTAATAGAAAGAGCATAGAAACACGAGGCTATCTGATTTGTACGAGGGGGGCGTAGCCCCCGGGTATAAATCAGATTGCCGGGTGTTTTGATGTTCTTTCTCTTTTGTATCATAGTCAAACATAAAAACACGTTCCCTGATACCACAATATGAAACCCCACAAAAAAGTAACCAATGAACGAGCATCTGAATATGATATTTCCATCGCTATCCCTTTCTCTGTCGTCACAATATGTAAACCCCGGACACAATGAACCAATCAATGGGCATGCTCTGGAGTGCGGGTAACTAATACCTGCACTCCAGTTAACGCACTGTGCATGTATATGTATTCGATTTATCTCTGTCACATGTTCAACAGAAAGGTCCTCAAACTATGATACAAGAATGTCATAAGGGATATTATAAATGAAAGATGATTCGACATCAGCAAATGTATGCCTTCGATTATCTTTTTTTTGTTGTTGAGAAATCTACTTAGTTATTACTCGATCTACTTTTAAGCAATATCCCAAAAGATAAATCTGTTTCCGACTCCTCTACTTGTACTTCTGTGCATAACCATATTTGTAAATTTAGTTGGACATTGCAAAGAAAAACTCACATTGCAATATATTGCGATATTAACAGACACATTGCAATAATTTATGATATATTGTGAACCATTTGATAATTAAGGATAAGACCTGCAGAACATGGACCTAAGAGTTTATAGTTTAATACAATTAATGTTCCAATGAATCGTACACAAGAAGTCCTTAAATTTCGCACTTACTGGCATGGTACATGAATAAGTTTAAACAATCTTTTGCAAATGCTATTTGAAATCAGTCTATATACAAGACGAGAACACTTTTGACATTAATCAAACTTTGGTGTATTTTTTCATTAAAATTTCATAGGGTCAAAATATTAAGATATCTGAAAACATATTGCGATATAATATTGCTAGACAAATATTGTGATATCCTGTATATATATTGCAATATATTTCACACCCATAAAATATAGTGTTGCCCTAGAAGGACTTTTGGTAGGTTTTAAAATTATCGGGGCTTGCTGCTAACAGTACTTTTAGAGCTTTGACAGTGTCTATTGCTAGTTGAGTTAGGTGCCAACGATAGTCTGGTCTGGGTCCACAGAGGTGCAAAGTAGTCTAGCTCTATCCCGGTGTCGTATGCATGTCTACGCCACAATCACTAAGTAAGGTAAGATGGGACATAAAATTGTATTTTTTCAAGTAACATTCATACTAAAGGCAAAAGCAAAAACGAGACAATAAATTTTAAATTTGTAACGTATATTTAATAAATAGATTTTCAACTTAATATTTGTAAAAGCGGCAGCAGTTTTTATATAGATTTGACATTTACATTTAAGTGCTTCAAATGCATGGCATATGATTTAAGAATACAAATATAACTCTATCCTAAACTAACTTATCAATCAATATAAGACGCATGGAAATATACATGTAAAACACAACGTAACAACATTACCCCTGTCTAAAATAAAGCACCAATAAATCATATAATATTAAGCCATCACTAGTTCGAAAGCAGCAAGTTTTCACCAGGTCTAAGACAGATCCAGCATAAAAACTCATCACACAATAAATGTAACGTTAAATAAATATATTTCCAAAATGCTCTGAAACAGTGAGATTCGTCTTTCCAATATATCAGGATTTCAACTAATATTCTTCTTATGCCATTAGCATGGTATTTAAACTTAAAATCATTCCATACACAAAAGATGATGCATGTTGATATATACTGAAAAGCAAACTAAGTATGATCTGTAAGTTGTTATATTGTGTGTGTAACATACACGCACATGGGTCGTGAAACAATTTTGCAACAATAAAATATATTATAGCACCATAGAAAATAACGGTTTGTCTGCCTGGTCGTCGTTATTTTGTGGATCATTATTTCGACGCATATCAACATTTTGCACCACTGCTGCTGCCGCCATACCATGCTGACCATTCATGGCTTGGATTGGTGGCGGTACAGTGTCTGCTACCTGGCGAGACGATTGAGACTGAGGAAGGTGCAGAACACCTTGTGAATTTGATGTTTGATGCTGGGACAAAGGAACACCTTGAAAACGACTCAAATCGGTACCCCTAGCTACCCCTGTTGTTGACACTGTCGCTGAAGAAACAGCTGGCACAAACTTAGCACTGCTGTCAGATGAAGCACCGGCAGTTTGTCTGTTATTGTTGTTTGTTTTAATTTGTTGTGGTTTGGGTAATATTGGAGGTAAAGCTGATTTTGTGGCAGTACCTTGAGACATCTGTCTCCTTATTATTTCTTTTTGTGGAGATTCCCTCACATTACTTAAAACTACAGGGTTTGAAACAGGTCTCCTCGTCTCTTTTGGATTAGTGTCAATTTTACTTGCATGAAATTGTTGTGGTGGCATGAAATTAGAGGAAAATCCATTATTTGTTTTTGGTCTGGCCCCACTTGCAGTGTTAGTTAAGTCTATAATAAAAGTATTTGTTGGTTGAATAATAACAGGCCTATCTTCCTTTGATGGCGATAGATTGCTTTGATTCTGAATTGTATTCGTTTTTCTTTGCAAAATCCTTTCAGACGGGGACAAGGGTGGTTGGCGCAATATCACAGTTGGCTGAGATGAAATATTACCATTGCTCCTTTCATTTGTGAGTTGTCCAAATTGCTTATTTACATTTTCGGTTCCTTTTGGCTTTTCTACTGGATACTGTATAGATATTCTTTCCGTTGACTCCACTGTCTCTTCACTTTCTTTGCTATTGCCTATTGGGTCAAATACACTAACGTCTCTGTCTTTAAATGTATACGTTAACCGTTTCGCTTTTAGCACTTTGGCGGAGGGTGATGTCGGTGATATGGAAGAGACAGGCGAAACTGGCGACTGTGGTTTTTCTTTTAAAACTTTCGCATAAACAACTTCTGCGTTATTATTTTCCTTTACAAAATTAAATTTTAACGGGGCTTTTGTGTAGTTATCTTTTGAAATATTTTCAGTCACATTTCCTTTGTCCACATTTGTTCTAGTTTTATCATTTGATTTCGAAAATGCCACTGGAGGTGGTCTCATTATTGGCGAAGATGGTAATGTCATTGTGTCAGACAATTGTCTGACAGAATGTACATCTTCAGTCTTAACTACAGATTCACTTTTATCAGAATGAACATTTGTATCGATTACTTCTTTTGGTTCTCGTTTAGGAGGAACAAATTTTAAAACTGGTCCAGAGTCTAGCTTGACTTCTGGTGATAAAGGTACACTAGATGTATTTAATGTTACTCTATTGCTACTTTGCAAAACTTTGTCTGTCAAATGACTCTGTGGAAAATTAAGAACAGCACCCTCAACAGGTCTGCTTTCTGTTACAAGTAAAGGTTTCTCTTCTGCAACATTTGTGATGTCAATATCCTTTGTGTCAAATACGTCGTCGTTATTTTCGACATTGTTCAGTCCGTTAATATCGGCGAAAATAGTATCTACCTCTTCATCCATATTTAAGTCTTTAAGATCTTCAGCCTTAACAGAAAAGTTTCTTGGTGGTTTTGGTGGTGGACCTACCTTTGGCACATGCACAAGTGGCTTTACTGGTACAGGAGAACACACATGTGGCATGCCTATTTGGCGAACTGGTTGTCTTAGCGAAAACTTCGTAGACCTTATCCTCTTACCAGCATATAAACTAGAATTTGATCCATCAATCGAGTCACTACGATTATCTAACCCTATGCGACCAATAAACATATTCTGATCTTTGTTTGGTTTGAATTCTGCAGATAAAGCTTTCCTCCTTCTTTCAATTCGTCTATCTCTATCGCTTCTCACAGTCTGACTTTGTGGACGTTTGTGTCTTAGAAGAACTTGTTGATCCATCACAAGAATCATATCACCGGAGTTGGATAAATTTCTAGATTCAATGCCCCGACCCTGAGAACCATTAATATCATAACACGTTCTTTTATTTTTAATTTCTTCATCAAAGGAAAGCAAATCTGCAGATCGACTAAGTCTCACCATATTTTGGTCGAACGCGTTACTTTCTTGTTTAGGTGGACGCTTTCTTAAAGAACCATGTTCAGATTGTGTTTCTTTTTCAGTCGCAGGTATTTTTGATTTCACTTGAGTGATTTTACCTCGCTTACTACTTCCTCTCTTTTCTCGCTCAGAAGAGTTGTTTCGCCCACGTGAATGTTTATGAAGGTCTTCACTTTTGGGTCGCTTTAGACCTCGACGTTTTGGTTTACTTCTAACGAGGCTAGTGTCCACTATTTCATACGGTGGTAATATCTCGTCTTGTTCTATTGGGACTGGAGGTCCAAATAGCATAGTCTGAGCGTAATGACATTCATCGTCCGGACTTCGCGGAGGATTGGTAGCTCCTGTACCGGAAATACTCGCATTGTCGTCAATAAGTGATTCTCTATGGGGTCTACCAATGCGCCCAAATGTAGAAAATGACGCACTTCGTGTACAAGGAGTTTTAAGAGGTGTTACTTTTGACAGTAACAATTCCTGGCGTAGGAGAGCTTGTCTATTAAGAGTGCCTGATGCGGTGTATGGTATCGGGAAAAATTCAGCTACATCTGAATTTTCGCCAATAGATTGCGATCTTCTATTGCTCATTGTATCTTTGTCCACACTTGAACGCTTTGATTGCCTTGATTCACCAACAAGAGGCGCCTGACTTCCGGTACTTGATCTTTCTTTTCCATTTCTTCGAATATAACTACCCTTTTTGCTTTGTTTTATTTTACCATCACTTTTAACGCAGTAAATTTCAGCACTATGTCCGATAAATAGATAGTAGATACAAATTCCATCAGAAAGAACACCAAGAGACAATTGCAGGACACCCAGTCCGAGATAAACTGCATGTATTACACTAGTCATGAACGTAGTTTGATTGTACCCATGGTAAAATCCGCTCCGGGCATCGAGTCCACCGGAAGCCAGTGCGATCATTCCTAGCGATGTGATACATCCAAAAATAGAAATGATCATGAAAGTTTTCACTGCACAAATGCTTCGTACGTAACTAGCAACAATGCCAAACATTCCAGCCAGCAGCATTACAGCACCGGACCAGAATCCTGTTCCTAAATAATATCCCCATAAATAGTTACTCCAAGCAACCACTGCATTTACAATACCTCCACATGCGCACATACACAGGACTAGAGAAATTATGAACACAATCTTGTGAGGGAACGTATGCGGCAACCGGTGGCGTTTCGTTGGCATGCTGATAAGTTAATGAAAGGAAATAATCCTCTTGCTTGATGTAACCTCCGTTTATGCTAGTTATCCAGTAGTCTAGTTATCCAGTAGTTTCTACAGCACCTCCATTTGTAATGCACTTCAGCCATTCATTCGTCAACACTTGCACTGAAAAGGGATAGGAAAGATTGTTGTTAAACTTTGTGGTTTTAGCTTAATCGATGATATGTCTTATAAAATTGAAATAGTGCATCGTAAATATGCGAGCATAGCCGGTTTTATTATTATTTGATGAATATCTCGGTACGCGTAAATATGCTAAATTATTTAAAAAGTCTGTTTACTTCGTCGTATTTTAAAAGTGGTGGTGTAAAATGAATCGGTGCGGAACATATCTGGCGAAAAAGCAACATTAATTCATTGTGCTCGTATATACATATTTCGTATGTGTATATATTCATGGTTGATTTCATTTATTCACTTTCAAATGTTGTTTAATACTGTAGCTGCTTCATTACCCAACATAATATACGATTTAATCAGTACACTACTTGAACAAATGTTATTACATATTACTTAAATTATATATTACTCATGCTAATTTTAGTACAGTTGTTACATGGTAACTTGTTCCCGGCTATGTTTTTTATAATCTATAATGATCAAACGTTCGTGGCATGATATATGTTTGCGCTACAATGGAGTTTCACTTCTGAATAATATATACGTAATTTATCATTAACCTGCTTGTACCTAAAATAAAGTGATTATATCTTTGTCATAAGTATAAAGCCAGTCTGATGTTTCATACTTATTACTAATTTGAATCAGTCCTAAATGACAAATATTCTTAGATCCAATATCAGAAAATGTAACATGCCGGGGATTCGAACTATTCACTTCATAGTCATAATCCAAACATGGTTTAAGGTCGGGGCTCGATCCTATGAATGTACTGACACCAAGGTTTGTATATCGATTACATTTGGCTAATACAGGCAATAACCGTCGTGTGTCTTACGAAATAATCAAGAGGGCTAAATTTCTCGATCTTATGCTACGACATTACATATACGGTATATATTTGCATATCTTTGGTGTAAAATATTATCATCTGTCATTTACAATTGTACATAACCGTGGAAAACTCAATTGACCTTTTAGTAAATAATACGTTTGTTTTTTTGCACCTTCAGATTCCTGTCGTTTTAATCATGTTATGCACATGAACACTGATCAATCAAGTGAAGAAAGAAACAAATATTTATATAGTCTCTTAATAAGGAGTAAAGAATTTAAACGTTTTTGTGACAAGTTTCACGTTGTAGCCCAGAGGAATGATATATAGATCCGCCGACGTCTAAATAAAAGGTTCATTATTAAAATAATATAAAAAGCGATGACTTTCACATTAAGTTTTTGTTTAATTTCTTATGTAATTTTATCAATTGATCAATTATTTTCAGTTGAATTTGTACATTTTCTATTGAAAAACAGCGGTAACTATGGATTTCGACTTGAAAAATCCAACATCATTGTACTGGCTTAAAAGCCAGATTAGTTTATAATCTTTTAATATCCATGAACGGAAAATGTCTTTAAAATAGACATTCTTTCAAATCAGTTTGTGTCTACTACATTTGCAAAAGTTATATGCGCGTGAATTGAAAGATAACAAAGAGTGTCATGCTATCAAGATTGTGAAAATCTAAAATCCTGCGTTTAAGAGGAACTTCACACAGCGTTACTCATTCTTTAAATAAACAAGTAAATAAATTATTGTGATAAAAGAGTAAGTTAAGTGCGTATACTTTCAAACTTAATGATTAACGGTCAGATTTCTTTTAAATAAGATCAGTATTACATATATGACATACTTTTTTTTATCATCATTACAAATGTGTTTTACGTTTTCTTGCTTGACAGGTCCAACTGTGATTCTCCTAAAAATTTATATATATTCCGGTATCATATTACATGTACATAGAAGTAACCTATAACAAACTTATTTTCTTTTTGTCATTTTCTTCACGTGTAACAAAACACAAAGTTGTGAACATATGAACAGTTTTCTTTACAAATATAGTATATAGCGTCATTTTATATAAAACATAAAATTTGTTTCAATTCGATCACTGTTCTATCGGAATAATTAAACGTTCATAATTGTGTCAGTTCTACTGCAGTTTTTTGTTAATCCAATGTAAAATAAGAACCCTGAATATATATTATGACAGATACGTTGTATATGTATATACAATGTACTTAAAATTTACATTGCGATAAATATATATGGGAAATGCATCGGCTTATCATTCGGGTGGGCGTGTTTCATTTGTGGCTTTATTAAACAGCTTGAGAACATGTATAGTACTCGGCACACCATGATCATTACAAAATCGCCTTAACTGTGTTTTTGTAAGTAAATATGCCTCACGTAACATTTTGATAATTTCAAGTCCGTATCCTTGTATACATGTTATTTGAAATTGAAGATCTCTGAATGTTCACGGCGATACTTATTCTCTTATTTGCCAATGCCACCAGCATTCGGCCAGACCAGTCCAAACACCGTTAATTGAAGTCGGACCTGACTCCATCATACACCAAGAATATACTGGATGTCTCCATGATTCCAGCATGTTTACCTTTAATTTACTTAACTGAACAATGTACTGTTCACAATCCAACAAGAGCTCATTGCACACATTTAAGAAGGTTGAATGCTGTATAAAAATGGACGTCACAATTCGTAGTTCAATTAGGCTACATATATTTGTACTACGAAATGAGATAATTTGCTATATTTTATGTATGGACAATGGTATTTTATGTATGGACAATATCTTCCCTTTTTAATTATTTGCACAAATGTAGTTGAATAATTTGTTGTTTTGAAATGCTTCATTTTTACATTTTTTTCCTAAATCCACGTTTTACCACAAAGTTGTGTTTCTGGTTTGACGTAGAAGCGAGATTCTGACTTCTGACACGTCAAAACATTTCGATGATTGAAGAAGAACAAAAAATACTAGATATGAAAGTATACAGTTGTTGATATTCTATATTCTTAAAATAAAATGAGCGTTTAAAATATATCGGCTGTTGATCTTGAAATACGCACACACAAAGTAATAATTAATGAAATTAAGATTTATCGATCCGATTGGCGAAAGATATTAAATGATTATATAAACAATATCGTCTATCCAATGAAAATAAAGCTTCCAAATATGCACAGGGTCTCTTACATTGTTAATCCCGCAATAAAATGTTACATATTTTGCCCCTGTGTTTAATGGGTGCTTTACATTGGTCGGTGCATAAACACTTCCCACATAAAAGATACTGTCCTTTCATGTTAGAGAATTAAAAATTGAAATCGGTGACTCACGAAAAGAATTGAAGGAATTTTCATATGGTATAGCAATAATAAATCTACAGTTGCAATTACCGACATATTTTCGAACATTTGCGAATTTGGTTAACGTCATTCGGTTTGTATCAAAAATATTAATAATGGTCCCAGTTCACGATTTATTTCATCGACTTTCTTTATCGCATAATTAGGTAATTCGCAAGTAATCAAATTTAAAATAGAATTGTAAGTGCACTCTATGGGTAATGAAGAGTAAAGCAATAAATCTTGATATGCTAGACCTACGCTGAAACTTTTTTTCTAATTAACTCAAAGTGAATTATTTAGGTTAAAGAGACGTTAAAAAGCTGAAATCAATATACATGTAAGTAAAATGACTTAACAAAATTAACACAATATGAACTACTACTTTTATTCATCTATATATGACTATATATATGGTTGGGTTCTTTTTAAGGTGATGCTTGAATAGACGCGATTGGAGAAGAAAGTTAATGAGACAGAAAATGTTTTTAGACATCTACAAACCAGTAGTTGACAGTTTATATTTATGACATTGGTAGCGATTCATATAAGTATAATTTTAACTTTTAACCTCTTTTGCTGACAATTATTTTGTCTGACTTACGTTAAAGATTTTATTTAACCTCACTGGATCATAAAAAATGTCCCTGAAGGTAATACCAGTGTGGATTGTTCTATGTTCCAAATACGAGATATTTCATTTATACTAAGGAAATACTTCAAGACAGTATCTGCTCTTAAATAGAATTAAATTTGCTGATTGCACATATTTTTTTCCGGTTCGGTGCGTTGGTAAAATAAATATTTTCCATATTGTAAGTTAAAACTTCGATATACTTAACTAAAATCAATCTAATTATAAATGGGTCATTTATAATTCAAAAATCTATAAGTCAAACTGGTCAATGGAAAGAATTTACAGTAGTTATACCAATACATAAATTGATATTCTAATGTATAAAGTTTAAGAACAGCCGAAATAAAACTTTAAAATTTTACAAACTCTTTTCATCATATAATTATGTTAGTTTAACTTTTTATTAATTCTAAATTTTTCTCTAAAGTTATTTTCTATGACATTTATTTCACTATTATTTCTTATATTAAACATGTCTGCATTTTAATAATCTTCTCTACCCTTAATTAAGGTGCTGAATTTCTTAAATAGACAGTTTGAAGTTGAACAGCTGAGCAGCCAAATGTACATGTATAGAGTCTGACCAGTGGTCAGACTCATCTATACTGGTGACAAATTAGGCTAATCAATACCGGTTACAGCAGGTCAATGTGTATTCCATTAGCTATTTTCATGTTTAGTATTACAAATGCAGATGCCACTAATTTAAACCTTGAACATTTTTAATCCTTGGGCAGGAAAATATTCGCAAAACTTTGAAAATACAATGAACATAATTCATATCATAAGAGAAATATTTTGCTGATTTTTTACATCCCATTTATCTTAATTGAGAAATTTTGCACGTGTAACTTTAAACGCGCTTCGTTGCACTGAATTTTAAAACATTCTATAAACTGACGATATCTGAATATATACAAAATGATAAATTAGATTTGACTATAGATATGCAAGAGACCATGAGTACAGCATATTTTACTCCCACATACATGTTCAGCAAATGTTTACGTCCGCGCAACCAGGTATGGTTTCCTTATATAGTAAGTTATAAGGGGAAGACGAAGCAATCATGAAATATGTTTTTACTTTAAGATGAAACAATGCCTTTTGTACACATAATTGTGATTGTAAATTCAAGCAACACATGTATATAAAATGTATAAAAAATGAACTTAAATAAAATATCAATGCAAAATATGGACACTTAAATGTATTTCTAACAAAATTGAATATAATACAGCAAAGATTAAACTGTTACTGCTATACATTAACTCCATACTGTACAGACAGAGTTAAGGTTTAATATAAAGAAAAGTTTAAATATACTTTTTTAAATGCATTTTAAAAAATGTGATCATTCCCTATAACTTTAAAAATGTAGACAAATTAAACGATTTATTAAACGTACCTGAAATATTCCACATTTACTTTTATGTCAAAAACATTAAAAGTCTAATTGATATCGAACTTTTACTGTTTGTTTACCTCACCTGTTTAACAGGTAAGTGCGTATTCGTGTGCGATTTAGATGAGACTATAGTCTTATATTTTATAAAATGAAACTTATCGGTAAAGCATTTGTTGTCCATTACATGTTAGGTTTTTGGCGGGGAATTATTACACTTGCAGGGCTTTCTTCAAATTAGAAGTTTACTTCCCTTCTTAAACTTTAGTAATCAAATAAAAGACCTGGAACGACGGGTTTAAACCGAGGAAAATTCAAGTAAATGCCAATCGAACACGGCTAAGCCACATTAAAAGGCTATATTTGATTAGTGGAATTATTCGGCCTGTAGCCAATCAGAAACATTCTACTTTCGTTTTGATGCAACATGGATGAAATAAGCAAATTATCATACGAGGGTAACTTTGAGCTTCTTAAAATAAAACTGAGAGAGGATAACAGCCTTGCCACGAAGCCAGATAATGTAATTGACATTTTATTATTATATTTTGACATAGAGCATTTGCATAGTTAGCACATGACAATCTGTTAATTAATCTCCATCATTGTTTTTTGTTGGCCACATTGTTTTTGATGTGGGTGGGGTGAGGTAAATAAGGGTAGACAAGTTTGAGGAATATATTATGCATTTGCAATTTCTTTGCCTGTTAGTCATAATCAGAATTGATTGTTAAGCAGTATCATGTAGAGGACTTGATAGTTTCTTATTTGCAGGTTTACCTTATTGCTATTCATGAACATATATATGTACATGTGTAATTCACTTTGACTAATCATTTGAGATATTCTTTTTCAGACACAGCGTGTGCCTTTACACTGGGCAGCTTCTGGTGGTCACACAGAAATTGTAGAGTACCTTCTGTCTCTTAATGTGCCAGTAGATGCTAGGGATGAGGTACACTAATTGATTAACTTATACAGGTGTCATTGATAATGCCGTTTATTTGATACATATTATAAAATTATTATTGTAATTTCTAAGGGAATATCATCAGACTTGCTTTATTTGCACTTTGATGAAATTGTGAAAATATAATTACATAACAAGACATTTTTATATTTCAAATGATCTTTAAAGAAATGAGCTATTGTTGATCTGACAGAAATCTTTTTTTTATCTTTTGGATCATTTTTTTTATCCCACCATTAACTTTTTACAAGTTGGCAATAAAAAGGTCTGACAGAAAGAGTACAAAATACGTATTCACTATGATAATACCCATTGCCAACAAAGCAAAAGTGGTAACAAACAGTTCATCTATGTAGCAAATGAGAATTTTTTGAAAAGAAAAGAAAAATTTTTGACGAATGAAAATGATGGAATTTCTGAGGCATAATGGGTTTCAGGATATATGGTATGGCATTGTCAATCTGTCCGTAGACAATTGACAATTGGTTTTTGATTGATAGCTTTTGAAGAATGTCAATAATTTTGATTATATCTGGCACGCAAATATGTTATATCCAAACATCATCACTGCATTTAAGTTATTATTGACATTATTATACTTTTTTTTGTATGCAAATTTTCTATAAAATTATTGGTTTCAACACAATTACATGTAGGTCCTACTTTTGAATGATTTCAGTGATTATGTTTATATTTGGCAGTATCTTATATCAAAACTTAGGTTCAATTTTGCTGCAATCAATTTGTAATTAATAATAGAGTAAATACCCCTTTATAAAGAAATTTTTCCTGAAATTATTACATGTACTTTCCTATTAAAGGATAACTTGTGAAAGATTTCAGTGATTGTGTTTATATTTAACACTATATAAGTATATTTTATCAAAGCACAGGTCAAGTTTAAATTTGAAACCTTTTTGTCCATGGTGTCTTTTTGTAAATTTGCCACTGGATGTATATATTGACTCACCTCAGTGGGATACTTGATTTATTATAGATTAATTATAATCGTCTTGTTTAAAAGGGTAAACATAAGTAAACCAGACAGTTTTACATTATCCTATAGTCAAACTGGACACCTCTAATGATAGCAGCTTCAGCAGGTGGGACACAGATAGTTGTAATACTATTGGCACATGATGCCCAGGTGAATGCTGTGAACACGACAGGTCATTGTGCGTTACACTATGCTGCCTCAAAAGATAGATATGAGGTATGATATATATAATCCATTTTAATTTGGTTTATACAAATTTATTTTAGTCCGATTGTGTTGGAAGCTATATGCTTATTGAAACACTCTCGAATCCGTTCCTCTGGAACCAACCAGTACTAAGCGATGATTGTAAAGTGTCTTGCTCAAGGAAACAACAGCTTGCCCCTGACAGGTTTTGAACCCACATGGTCAGCAATCCTTAGATTACTAGTCTTGACGCGTCAACCACATGGCCAAGCTGCCATTTACATTCCATTTGTACTAGTTTATGTACTCTCAACAAGCTTAGTTTGGGGATGGCAATGCCTTTTTAAATTAGAAAATATAATTATATATCAAAATTTAGATTTTCTTTCAAGTCTCAGAAAGCAGTGTAGATACATGTATCAGCTACAACAGGAAATGAAGGCTCATAGGCAAGTTTCATATGGCAAATAAATTCTATCATCTTGCTTCCATTTAGAAATAAACAATCCACTTTTGCTGGAGAAATATTTCTAAATAATCTTTTGTTTGAATTTTTTTTTAAATCCTACTTAGCATATTTATTTAAGATTGAAATTCATACTTTAATTAGTCATTAATGTAGTGACTATGAATCAATTTCAGTGATTATGTGTGTGATGATAGTCTATTGTTTAACTCACCAATACATTAACAATTAAAAGTCAGTACACAATGTCATTCCTCCCAGTTGTCTTATACTTGTATTTGGCAAAATGAAGACATTTGATATTTGTAAAGTAGATTCATAAGCTTAATTAATGACATCAAATAATGGACAAAGTCTTACCAAGTGAGTCAATGATTTTGGACATTAGACAAGCAAGTTGTATCTGTATCTGGGGAAGTTTTGATTTGAGATGGGTATCATCTCAAATGGAATATTTATATTTCATATTGTATTTTTTTAGATAATCTATTGTTTACTCGCCAGTACATTAATTATAATACACAATCTCACTTTGCCCATCACACAAAATGGAGACAGTGTAAGGTAGTTGCACTCTTGAAAAATAGCTGCACCTATGGCTTTATGTTCCAGCTGGCTTGGAAACAAATGACAATCATCTTCCCTTTTTAATGACGATTTAACCAAACTGCGATTTTATGTCCACAGTACTACCACAGTACTACCAAATAACATGACAGAAAGCCGCTCAGATTGAGCTATACCCAAAGTTTGGGTCCAAAACTTAGGTTAATTGCAATAAAATTGACAAAAGTACTGGTTAAATGATAAAATAAAATCAAAGAAACTAGTAATTATTTTATGAAACTTTGTCTGTCTTTGATGTATATTTATCATTACTTCTTTTATTCTTAGATTGCAGAGAAATTGCTTGAGAATGGTGCAGATCCTAACATTGGAGATCGATATGAGAACACCCCTCTACATCGTGCCGCATCTAAAGGCCATGTTAAACTAGTGAAATTATTACTACAATATCATGTGGATGTTAATTACAAAGATTCCATTGGCAATACACCATTGTAAGTATATATATGAAATTAAGTATTGCTTGATCAGTATACAGTGTGACAGGGACATTTTGTGCAAATTAGGAACAATTATAATGGATAATGCACAGTATTAGACATAAGTAGTAAGAAAATAAATTATGCAAATTAGATTTTGGAGCAGCCAATAAAAAATGTTTTGCCTGCAACCAAAAATAACATTTTTATACACTAATTTAATTACTTAATCCCTTGTTATAAAAACATGCAAATCATGTCAAGGATCTGCTATTAAATAAAAAATTCTGCTAAGACGCATTTATTTTGCAACATGACTCATTGATTTTGCTACAGGACTCATTGTTTTCAAACATGTGCGTCAACCGACGCATTGTAAGGAATTTCTAGATTAATCACTGCTTGTAAAATAGTCTAGTCGCTTAATTAAAAATAATCCAATTATACTTTGCCAGCAATTGTTTTTCCAGCCAGTTGACATACTGTTTCAAAGTGTAAATTTTGTCCAACGTTTGCATTTGTTCACAGAAGCTACAAGCTTTCTGTACAATCAAGATTGTTTTGTTTTGTTTAAATTGAATTTTGTCCATTATATGAAAGAGAATTTATTGTCATTTGGACAAATAATAAGCTGCTTCATGTCAGTTATTCTATATGTTTATACTGTAGTTACTCTATATGAGCCGCGTCATGACAAAACCAACATGTTGCGTTTGCGACCAGCATGAATCCAGACCAGCCTGCGCATCCGCGCAGTCTGATCAGGATCCATGCTGTTCGCTTACAAACCCTAGGACAAGTAGAGAATCTGATAGCGAACAGCATGGATCCTGATCAGACTGCGCGGATGCGCAGGCTGGTCTGGATCCATGCTGGTCGCAAACCCACTATGTTGGTTTTGTCGTGACACGGCTCATATGTTATTGTATGATTGTATTTTAGACATTTAGCATGTGAAGAGGAGCGGGCAGAAATGGCAAGATTGTTGATAGAACATGGAGCTTATGTTACCATCATGAATAAGGTATATACATTTAACTCCTTGATAGTGGTATAGCTAAAAAAAATCTTGTACAATTCACAATAATTTGAAATGTCAAGATGTTTCATTGTGCTTTAATCACATTCTTCATAGTAGACCAATCTAATATGGATCACTATGTAAAATATGTGTTTCTAGTGGTACAAATCTCTGTTTGAAATCCCCAAGTCACTGTTTGATTTTTCAGTAATATAGAAAATACATGGTTGATGTCAGGATGGAGAAGGTTTATCCGATGAGCGAGAAAGTGTATCTTGGCGAGCTTTAGCGAGCCAAGATTCACTTTCGAAGCGAACCGGATAAACTTTCTCCATCCCGACATCAACCATGTATTTGATTTATCCTGCTTTTAATCATGCTTTTAGAATAATTAAATGGTTACATTCTTCTTTTTCCTCCAATAAAATAGCATTAATATGTAGTTTTGTTTTGCTGCTAAACATGTGACGTCATCGTAAGACGTAATGACTGGAGATAGATAAGTTTATCTGGCAAGGCTTTATCCAGCTGATGATATAGACAGTAGCAGGATAATTGCTGTTATATGGATGTTTGACCCTCGTATATCCATTTGAAAATCCAGCTTTTTTTAACCAAAGCACACTTTGGTATTCATGTATGGTTCTTAATGTTTCTAGTATATTTGACTATAATTTTCAAAAAAATGAGCATGAATATGGAGGCATTCCGTGGTCTTTCTTTAATCGTTGCATGATGGAAAATTTTTGTCTGCTACAAATTTTGTTAGTTAATTTCTTTTTAATCCAATTTTCTGGAAATCAAACAAAATAAAAGTTCATTGTCAAACAACTCTACAAAAATGTAACTCATTGACTTATAGTATGACTAAGGCATAATTATTTTGTGTAGTACACTTTATCCTTCCCAGTTTGTGTAACTTCCATATACTTCTTTGAATTAGGTAGCTTTAAGGGTTTTAGTATCAAAATAACTTAATTTTAGTGGTTGGTCAGGTTGCATAGATTTTCAGGACGGCCAACTTTACTGGTAACACAGGTTAGCTATAATTACCTGTAGTAATCTAAAAATTTAAAGAAAATATTTATATCACATGCTTAATAAAGAACATCAAAAATTTCAGGAAGAGAAAACACCTTTAGATCTGGCACCACTAAATTTGAGACGGACACTTCAGAAACACAGCGAGCAAGTTCAGATAATTCCAACAGACAGATGATGATTTACTGTGAACAGTTTATGCTCTTTTATATAGAATTGAACAGAAAAAAAATAGATTCTACAACCAGACTTTATATTTTGAAGGGTGAAAAACTATGAGTTGAATGACGTTTTGATTACTAGTTAATGATTTTTGCCAAACATTCAAATTTATCCCTTATTTCTGTTTGTTAAATAACTATCAATGGTGTAGCCAGGTTTATTTAAAACCTATAATGCATTTTATAGGAAGGTCTAAAGTATTAACAAGAGTGAATCCATTTTGAATTACATGTAATATGATTGTTTACAGTTTAACTTGTGCTGATACATAGCAACAGGAAACACGGAACAAACAGAATGTACATACATATTTAGAGGAGTGATACATTCTGGCATTTCGTTGTTTAATTATTTAAAGGAAAACCGGCCTTTGGCAAAATTAGAAACTGGTCCCAAACATGAATAAGTAAATGTCAATTAATACTGAAATAATACTAAAAAAAAGATATGTTTTGTTTAATCATTGTTTAATAATTAATTCATTCATTGCATAATGTTTCCTTCATTAATTGTATGTCATCTGTTAATTTGCCATGAATTCATTCTGTTAATAAAAATGATTAAAAATTATATCAGTTTTGTGGAGGTCCTCAATGAGATGCTGCATGCCAAATATCTAAGGTCTGTGCATTGTAGTTTCACATGATAAAACTGAAATAAATTTTCCTATACAAATTTATATAAAAGAAGTGAGGCCAAGGGTGGGCCAATGTTGTATTGACCCATGGGGCATAATTAATACCAATTATGTTGTGGTCCACAAAGTGATGTTACATGATAAATATCAACTGGTAAGTTCTGGGCATTATAGTTTCACACATTAAGTCTCGAATGTGTTTTCCGGATAGTATGGCCAATATTGAACCCATGGGCATAATTCTTATCAGTTTTGTAAAATTGAAAGGTCAGTAAGGTAATGCAACATGCTAAATATCTAAGCTCTAGACATTGTAGTTTCACAATCTTTTTATGCTTCCTGAAGGGTGAGCATATAGTTGCCACTTTGTCTGTCCGCTATTCTTGTCCGTGACATAACTTTGAAACAATAAGAGGTATCAACATGAAATTTTGTAGGTAGATAGATCTCAACGAGTAGATGTGCAGTGCACAAGACCCTTAACTCTGCCTTGCCTAATTTTGGAATTATTGCCCTTTGTTTAAGTTTACACTTTGAACTTTGTCCAGGACATAACTCTAAAACTATAAGAGATATCAACATGAAATTTTGTAGGTAGATAGATCTCATTGTGTGGAAGTGCAGTGCTAAAAAACCATAACTCTGTCTTGCCTAATTTTGGAGTTATTGCCCATTTGTACAACTTTGAATTTTGTGCGGGACATACAATGTAACCCTAAAACTATAAGAGATATCAAGATGAAACTTTGTTGGTATATAAAACTCATTGGATAGAAGTGCAGTTTAAAAGACCCTTATTATGGAGTTATTGCCCTTTGTTATTTTTTTCCTCAACTTTGTTCCAGACATAGCTTTGTAGGTTGATTGATCTCATTAAATAAGATTAACTAAGAAATGCAGTGCAAAGAACTTTAACTTTGCCTTGCTTATTTTGGAGTGATAGCCCTTTGTTCATTTTTACACTTTGTAATGGACATAACTCTGACACTTCAAGAGGTATACTTTTCTGTGTCCGTCCAAAACCTTCTCTGGGTGCATCACCCGGTTCAACCGGCTCTTGTTTACATATCAAGTTAATTCCCAGGATGGGGCCAATTTAATCCCAGGAACTCCAAACCTGCACATCTGTCTCATTTAATCACATACTTGTGCCGCTTTTGCAACTCCGTACAAATAGTATTGCACAGCAGTGAGCTGTGCATATATTTTGATGGTGCAAAGACACACTAAATGCTAGCGTTACACTATAAGTGCGACAATAAAAAAATAGGATTTTTTTTCACTTTGAACAGTCTTTTTTGGGCATGTAATCAACCCTTTCAATATTAAACCTAACACTCATTTACTATCCTCTAAATAATTAACACTTCAGCAAAGTAGTTTCAATTTCCTTTCATATGTTCAAAAGATACAGACCAATCACGAAATTGCTTGCAGATGGACCAGGTGCATAACAATATAATGCCGAAAAAAATTTCAGGCAATTAATACTAAGCTATTGATTGTATAAATGTTCTTCAACACAAAATTACAATGAACATTGGAAAAGTATCCTTTCACCAGAAAATCATGATGCTTTTTTGTAATAATGAATAGTTGAGGAATGCTTTTCAAAACATGATAAATAGAACACAAACATAATGTAGAAATATTATGAATTTATTAATAATAACATATAAAACTGTATGTCTCAACATAAAGAACAAGGAGCAGAGACTGATGGGTTAAACAACACAAATTCCTGTCCTTACAGAATAAGATAATGTATACAGGAATTAATGTACAAATATCACATCTTTAATCCAGTAGTGAGTGGATTTTTTTTTACGATGATCATAGCAAAATAAAAAAGCGTAGATCACTTAAAAATATACAGTAACATTTTGGATATGTAATTTTTGGAATGTAATAAAAAATTTATGGAAAATAAGATACACACACATGAACCATTTAAAAAAACACTGCCAATACATTAAATTATTTACTTAATGACCTATCCTAAAAATATAAGAAAAAATGTCGGAATTAAAGCATTCCTGCCTCAACATAAAAAATGCAAATTGATATGACATTGCCAAGAACAAACCTCATTATTTGGCAGTATTTAACTATGTAGTTATAATTTAATACTACTTGACTTTGATTAATTAATCTCTTTAAAATATTTCAGTATCGTTTTTCTGGAACACAAATATTTCATTCACGTAAATCAGATGATGAGATCTGTCAGATGTTATAACAACTGTCACAAATTGAACTGTTAGATGGTACTTTTTCCAGAAATTATTTGCTATCACAACAATTTTTGGTTATAATAAATTAATTCCAGCTGACTTCTTTTTTTTATATGTATAACCAGACTGAACTTTTACTTGTAGGAAAAAAGTTTAAATATGAATAACCATTTTCACTGAAGAAATGACGAAAGTTTAATGTAAAACTCTCTCAAATAAAAACTTAATTTGACACTTTACTGTATAATACATTCTATGTATGTTGCAATATGTTTCAGCTGGAATTAACAAACCATAATCAAACACTTTCATAAATTGTATATAAAAGTTTTTAAGAACACTTCCACACACAAATAGCAAGATTTCCTCCAAAGAACATGTACAGTAAGTTTTTAACTTCATGTGTAAGCTCAAAACCAAAACCTTCCCCTACGACCGCATGCCATGAAGCACCAAACTTTTTGTCCATTGTTTCTTTAATCATTTTTGCAGCATTCTGTAATGTAAACAACATATCTATTACCAATTTGGTTAAGAAACCACTTAAATATTCAATATTGAAATGAAAACACTAATTACTTACAAATTGCAAAATATGCTAGTTAAAGAAAGAAATAACTTTCATTATATTTATTTCATTCTTAAATTACATTTATTAGTACTGATCATTTCTTCAAAAAGAAATTCTGAATTGACACAGATAATATGGACATATATACATATCAGATATTATGTACACATGATCCCATTATTACAAGAACAATTAATGAGCCGCGTCACGACAAAACCAACATAGTGCGTTTGCGGCCAGCATGTATCCAGACCAGCCTGCGCATCCACGCAGTCTGATCAGGGTCCATGCTGTTCGTTATCAGTTTCTCTACTTGTTATGGGTTGGTCGGCAAATAGCATGGATCCTGTCCCTGATCAGAGTGCGCGGATGCGCAGGCTGGTCTGGATCCATGCTGGTCGCAAATGCACTATGTTGGTTTTGTCTTGACGCAGCTCATTTTATTTGTGAAATTGAACCATTATTTGTATTAGAATATGTTCATTGGAGGTTAAACAGTTCTTTGATAACCTGAGATCACCAAAAATCTCTGAAAATTTGAGAACTGTCTGTGCCATGTTAAATACCAATAATATCAATTACATTTCTTGTCTAAGACCTAATAGTTATATTATATTGATATTATGTCCAACTTTCCTTTCATTTATCTAACTTGCAACAAAAACAGAGAAATGTAGGTATGATGTTAGATATGTTATAATAGTATGATAATGCCATTACCAATATTTGAAATATCTGATAATAGAAATACACACACATACATAGATCTTACAGTTGAAATTTACTTTGATAAGAAAATATAATAAAATAAGTGTAAATTAAAGCACATTTTTTTCATTTGTAATTCTGGGTAAAAAACAAGATTATGTTATTTAATATTTTAATAAATATCTGTTTAAAAATAGGTCAGACATAGATCTCACATTTAAATTTACTTTGGTAAGTAAGGCAATTTAAAATAAGTGAAAATCAAGCCACGGATTCATTAAAAAAATTCATGGGAAAAAGAACAACAGCAAATACATACTTCATTATTTTGTGAGAACTTTTCACATGCTGTGACACACAATTCCATGGCTTCTGTTTTCATTTCATCATTCATATCAGAGTGCTGAAATAGGAAATGATTTATATTATATTCATATTTATATCAATTTTCATGAATTTTATAATAAAAGTAAATCATTACAAATAACACAGGAGTCAATATTTCTGTTCCCATATAATTTAATGAAGGATCTCAGGTTGTTCAGTAGACTCTAAAACTCAATGGTCAATGATCTGCCACACAAAATTTTTAAGGATCAAACCCAAATATTCATGCAAGCTTTTTTGTTTTGACATTTTCAATATTTTTTATTATTTATATTTGATTTAGTCCCTATGTTTATCAATTGATTGGCTGTCAGTTGGAAGTCAAGGTTTGATACCTTACTAAGTTGGTAGTTGCCTGCCTTTTAAATTTATGTCCCAGAGATTTGGCACTTTAATATCAATATAGCTAGAACCTGGGAAAGCCCAACAAATATTGTGCGTTTAGGGCTCTTTATTATATCAACGATGGTCGCACGTAAAGACAGACATCTATGAAATATCAGACAGTCGGTCTTGCAGTCAAAATATTGAGGCTAGAACCTGGGAGGTAAAGAGTCAACTCGGCCCTATACCAACACGGCACGGTTCAACTTGGCCCACGTTTGAAACAAACATATTAAACGTATTAACTTTTTTATAACTGTACTTGCAAATTATCAAGACAAGTTGTTTCAAATGAAAAATAATAGATATCTGGTATATTATTATATAACTGTACATTATACTTCTGTAGAATTAAAGTATATTTAGAGGAAATTTCTTTCATTCCTTCTTGCAGATTCTTTAAAAATTAGTTCCCTTTGCTGCTTTTTGTTTATAAAGTAATCTTCAATAAAATATGAAATAAAAACATGTTTACTTGTTGTTTCAAATATTTTTAAATGTTCTTTATGCTATATACATAAAATAACATGTAATGCATTTATTAACATGCAATGTATTTTGCAATGTCACAAAGATGGATTGTATAGTGGAACCCCATTGTATCGTGCTATTCATTGTATCGATCTATTTACAAATCTTTAGATTTTTTTGAAAATGCACTTACTACTGATTGCTAACATTCACAACAGTGTCACGAAAATCTTTCGCATTTGTTTTGTGCCGTAAAAATGGTCAAAAACATGTTTCCAGTACCGTCAGACTTTGTAGATAATAAATAGACTTATAAATAGTGTGTTCTTATTAAAAACACATTTACTGTCTGTTTGAAAGTTTGCCTAAAATTTATGCTGACATTTTAAAACACGACATCTTTGATTCTAATTGACAGAAAAATCTAGCATAAAGATGGGTCAGACGTCCAAAACTTTGGGACTAACTGAGCGATTCTTCACAATGCATCGATATAATGGCGTGACCTTATTCTTCAACCTGTTTGACATGTCTGTAAATAACCGTATATTCCAAAGCTAAAACTTTATATCAGTAATGTTTGCCATGTAATATTTATGACAAAAGAATCAAAATAAATGATACAAAATAAAGATTCAGGGAAATTTAAACTTTTTAACTGCAGTTGTGATTTATGGGTAAATAGATCGATACAACGGGGTTCCAGGATATAGGTATGCTTAATAAGTTTTTTTTACCCTAAGCATTAAAAACTATTTCATTACCAAAAATGTAATAATAATTTATGAAAACATCTTTCCACGTTTGTAAATAAGTCTGTATAGTAATTATGTGGTTCCAACAATAAAGAGTGATAAAACAAACCAATATAGATCTATTAATAAATTGAAATTTGTTTTACCCCACCCACTTTCTTTTAATATCAGTAAAGATAAATATGATCAATAAATACATTACCCTAATCAAAGGGTATGTGTGAACTCTTTTCGCATCTCCCGTATCTTTCTTTTCCTCCGTTGTTTCCGCCATTGTTATGTGTTATTAAACCAAACTCAAGTATGTTTAACTCTTTATACTGTGTATGCTTTGTTGTTGTAGTTTTTCGAAACTTTCGTCTCCAAGGTAAGCAATGCGCACGCGCTCGCACCTGCTGACTGGTCTCCTCAGTTTGAAACTACCAGAAAGTGATAAAATCACATTAAACCCAACTTAAGCAGTGGTGGGATTGCAGTACTTGTCTTGCTCCCAGTGTTTTTCTTTATTTTCTTTTTTCACTATTAACATTTTAACCATGACTAGAATACATTTTCAGTCTCACCATCTTAGCATGTTTATTATGCTGGGACTATTTTGCTTTTCTTACTAACAATCCGACGTGCACTTAATTCCTGCCTATAACACTCGCGAGATTGGTTGGCAGTATCCAGAGATAGAAACGTGTAACTGGGCAAATACATGTAAATGGCAAATGATCTTCAACACAAAAATGTAAAACTATGCATATTGGACAAAACATACCATGTGATTATTTTATGAACGACTGAAGCAATATACCTGCAAAATTCAACAAATAAATGAAGAAAAAGACCTTGGCGTGAACATATAAGCAGTAAAGAAAACAAGGCAAATAGAAATTTGGGATTAATAGTAAAAAAACTCTACATATATGAACAAAGAAATTTTTGTACAACCTTACAAATCTCTTGTAAGACATCATCTTGAGTACAGCTCCGCAATTTGGTCACCTTAATTTAAAAAAAAAGATGCAGTATCCATTGAAAATGTCCACCAAAGAAGAGCCACTAGAGTATTAAGTGAACTATCCGGGAAAGAATATAGCGAAAGACTGTTACAATTAGGCATTCCAACTTTAGTTTAAACTTTATTTATTCAATAAATTGTACATAAATGACATTTACAAACATTGCACAACAATGTAATTCAGACTGGATTGGAAAACAAGTAAAACAATACTTATATCAATTCCTCTCCAGTAAAAGTAATTTTCAAGATAAAGATACAAAAATGTTGCGGTTAGATGTAAGCTCTTTGAATGTACAACAAAGAATAAGAGAATAATATATTGTTGAATTATCACTATAGAAAATCTAAAGTAAATTATGGTGAAATGCTAAAAGAAAGGAAGAATGTAAGGAAAGGTATGATTGAATATATATATCGGAGTTTAATAATTAAGATTAACAACTTTAGAATACAGAATACACTGAACAAAAGTTCTAACCGATCACTCTGAGTTTTCGCTTATATATGAAAAAGAATAATTTACCAATAGATCCGACTTTTATTTTATTTCGAAAGGAATGAACACATTGAGAATAATAACATTATAACATTTTCTATTTAAATTATACTTTATCGATATTTTAAAAAAAATATTTTTATGAACAGCCACTCACCTGTCTCATAGAGGCTCCAGCATTCAACATTCCAACTGCTACGGCACGATCCTGCATCGACATTCGTGCCATGTTTTATGTTTTTTCACTTATAAAGTTAACAAGGATTTATGCAATGTAAAATTTAATACTCACCACGCTCTGCACGAACATTTCGTGCCAAAATGTGAAAACCGCGCCCTGTCTCCCGCGTGAGTGCATGGAACCGTATTAAATTATTTTTCTTTCCACAAATTGGTAGAAAATGACACAAAAATCACCTCTGCAAAATTTTATAAGGATCTATTGACCCGTTATAAAATAATCAAAATTTAAAAAGTGATCGGTTAGAACTTTTGTTAAGTGTATACAGAGCAGACATGATTAAAACTTACAGGATAATTAAAAACATTGACAAAATAGATAAGGAAATATTCAAAATACGAGTAGGAGTCACTACCAGAGGTTATAAGTATAAAATATTCAAGCCAATAACAAGAAATAACACAAGAAAAACACGTTCAGCCATAGAGTTGTGGATTCTTGGAACACATTAAATCCTAAGGTAGTAGAAGCGACATCATTGAATTCATTTAAGACAATATTGAATAAGCTATGGAACTGTCTAAATAAGTTTAATGCAAATTGTTATCAAATCCAGTGAAGTTATAATAATCAGTAAATGATAAACAAACAGATTTGCGTCCAGTTGTTTTTTTTTGGTTTTTTTTTTTTTTTTTTTTTTAAATAATATGTGTAAATAAAATCTATAAGATGTAAAAGAAAATGATAAAGAGTATATAATTAATTGAGGATATACAAATAAACATTCACAATAATATTGGAAATAATTACAAAAGTAGTGGATGAAAATAACAAGAAGGAAAACCGCTCCAAAATCGGCATAAGAAGCTCAGCTTAGCATCCATGATGCTGCCTGAATACATGAACTACATGCACTAGATAAATAAATAAGTTACTTTTGCAGTTTGAGGACAGAACCTAATTGTATCCCAAACTGAGTAAATATTGCGTTTCAAAGAAAATGTCTCAATTTACGAAAAATCAAAATAGGGAACTTGAAACAAATGTACATGAAAATCGACAAATGTCACCAATATATCGATAAAATAACATTCTCCAAAGAAAAAAAAATGATGCTTGATGTGTTCATATTACTTGATTATTTATTTATTAGCTTTCAATTTGTTGTATTTTTTTTTAATTTGTGTACATGTACTAATTAAGTGTTTAATTGCTTTTATATTAAGTAATTAAGTATCTTTATATATCATTTATTTGCTATTTATAATTATTAAAGTGCCTAATCGTGAGATGCAGTTTGGTGGCGTTTGCGTCGGGCCAATTTATATTCATCCGGCCTTCCGTTAGACGTTTTAAATGTCATTTCCGTTATATATGTATGTATTATGTACATGACTGTATATTGTATGTACCAAAGAATACTGAAAAAATCCATCGGATGTATAAATTAATTTGATTGTAATATAGATGTTTGATATTTAGATATTTTAAATTCTACTGGGGCTGTTTTATTATCCAACATTATTTAAATATTCAACTTTTATCAAGAACTTGAATTTAATTAGAGTCTGAAGTCTTTATTTAGGTCCGTCCATTTTTTTCTCGTTTAGGGCAAACATTCTTTTACTTGAGGATCATAAATTTGCTTTTCATGGAATGGCACTACTGTGACTCATTGAAGGTTCCTTGATAACGGCCGTATGAACACTCTAAATTTTAAATTTAGAATTACATTTTGTACATCATTTTCGTGTTTAAATGTTGGATTCTGCTTAAGCCGGTGCTGGGGGGGGGGGGCGTGGACGGTAACTTGAACTTTCCAGTACCGGGCAATCATGAACAGACTCAATCAAACAAATACTGCAACATATTTAATTTGCCGTGTTGGGCTTTCTTGAAAGATTCTGTGTTTTCTCTATTTGACAAAATATTTATTAAAGCTGCCTTAGGTTAGTGTTAATTTAAAGTTGGTCTTCTACCCTAGGACTTCAGTGTTATTGAATTTTTCTGGTCCTTCGGGACCGTTGATTAACTTTTGAAAATGATCGAGTACCAATCAAGGCGGTGCTAGGTGGCATTGGAATACTGCACTTTTTCATTATCCCTCATGTACCACGGGGAGGAACTGTTACACGAAGGATGGGGTTCTTATGATAATTTGTTTGAAGTTCTTATGATAACTGTCACGGAGTTCCTTGGAAATGTTACGGATTTCTGTGGAAAATTTTCTATATACTTGGAGAACTCACGTTAGAAATGGACTCAGTCAAACAATTTTCATGTAATTTTGTTGTGATAAAAGGCTTCCGAGGATCACACTTTTTCCAGATTTATATACTTCATAACAGAAGGTGTCAAGTTTAAGACAAACCACAAATAACATATTCTACATCTACATCTACATTATACTGCTTCAGAATCGTTATCAATTACACTAAGCAGGCGTGTTGTCTGGGAATAGCTGTTAAAAACAAATATGTTAAGTGCAAATTTATAGACATAAGGTAAAAGCAAGTTCAAAAGAACTACAAGACTGAGATAAAAGTTAAAAGCAAAGCTGGCTTAGAACTGGTAAAAAGGATACAGCTGCCCAATAAATTGGTTTAAACTGGGACTAGCTTGTAAGGACATGGGTAGGCCATTCCACAGACAAATACTTCTGGGGTTGATTGATTGATTGATTTATTTGTGTATATATATATATATATATGTCATATGACAAAACAAATTAAGACAATTTATCACAGATATATCTATCACATTGTTTTTAACACAGTAATTAATTGAAAAATAATAACTTTACATTCATAATTAAATCAAAGATCTTGTTGACTTCAAGACAATATATACAACACAGGATAACCCATGAAAGTTCAATATAAAATAGAGAACTTTTTTCCAATGGGGTCCTTTAATGGTAAAGAATATATTTCCTTGAGAACTGGCATTCAGGTCCATACTTAGAGATGATATACTGGACTGATGGTAAATTTCTAAGATCAAATAATATTAATTTCTATTGCACATTATGTTAATTACATATATCACATATTTGCAGGAATAATACTATGAATATGACTAGTTATCACACCAATGAAAGATATCTATTTATATATATCACAAAACCAATCACAAGATACATTTATATAAAACTTACTATATTGATTAAAACAATTATCTCTATTACTAATAAAAAAATAAAATCAGCTTGTTCAAATTGTTTCATATTTTTGCTTAGTTCAGCTTTTACTTTCTTTTTAAAGTTAAAAAAGTTACTTTCCTTTTTAATATCAAGTGGGAGCATGTTCCAATCCCTAATACCCTGGTAAAAAATGTACTTTTTGTAAAACTATTAACATGGGGTATATGAAAGTTCCCTACACTGTTTCTACTATTATAACAATGAACATCAGACTTTAAAGAAAAGTTATCATATATATAAGATGGACACTTTTTATTAAATATTTTGTGTACATGATTGAGTATTAACTGTATGACTCTATTTTCTATATTAAGCCACCCAATACTGCTAAAATCAATAACTTTCAATGATTTTCTAGAGAAATAACCATGAATATAACGAACAACTTTGTTTTGTGCTACTTGAAGTTTATGTTTAAGTTGTTTAGTAAGGCCACTATACCAAGATGAGCTGGCATAATCGAAGTGACACTGTATTAAAGAGTTACATAATAGTTTTCTTAGCTCCATATTCAAACTGTTGCCTTGTCTATACAAACATTTTAATCGAGAGTTTACTTTTTGTAGGTCACCCTTTTTTGTACTATATTATCAACAATAGAAGTGGCTGAGAGATCATTATCCAAGATAGAACCGAGATACTTTACTGATGGCTGAGATTGTATGGTGTGATTATTACAGTGTATTTTAAACTGCTCTAGTTTTGACAATTTCCTCTTAGAACTAAAAACAATACATTCTGTTTTACCAAGATGTAAAAAGGGGAAAATCTGAGTGAATTATTTGCTTTTGCTGTTATGTTATTTATGTGATTGGTCCAGGATAGATCTTTACTTATTGTTACGCAAAAATATATTGTAGTCTCAGTGGATTTTAGTTGTTGGCCATGTGAATTAGAAGGGAATGTTACTGGATGTTTCTTGCGGCTGATACTAAGGACTTCACATTTATCTTGGTTAAAGTCCATGGACCAATCAGATTCCCTGTTGAGATATTTTTGGAGGGTTTGTGCGTCTTTGGTTGATTTGATTGTTAGATAAACTATTGTATCGTCTGCAAAATAGCCTGACCTTGTCCTTAACACTATCAGGGAGGTCGTTTATGTAGGATACGAAGAAGCAAGTTCCCAGGACCGAGCCTTGGGGGACACCAGAGAGAACAGGTAAGTTGTCAGAGATTTGCCATATAAAAATGATCTTGTCCATGGGATGACCTCTGAGCTAACACCTAGTCTGTGTAGTTTAAGGAGAAGTTTGTGATGGTCGACTTTATCAAATGCTTTGCTGAAGTCCATGACAATGACATCGTTCTGTTGGCCTTGCTCTAGATTGTCATGAACTTCTTGGGTGAAACTGATAAGCAGGTTTCACAGCTATGTTTTGACCTGAAACCATGTTGGAAATTGCTGAGAATATCATGCTTGTCGTAGAAAGACATGATATTGGAGACAATTATATGCTCAATTAGCTTAGAGGCAATGCAGGTTAATGATATAGGCCTAGGTTTACATTTTGGGCCTTTCTTATAAACAGGGGCAATCACTACGTGCTTTCAGTCATGAGGGACAGTACCATATTTTAAAGAAATTTGGAAGATGTGTGTGAGAACTGGGGCAATTTTTATATTTGGCATATATTTATAATAATTACATTTCACAGCCTTGTGTTAACAATCAATAACTGGGTTTACGAGTAATATCACTCTGTTGAGCGCAAGTTATTGAAGGCAAATCATTGCGAGGACACTGCCCTGTTTGTGGTAGAATACCTTTCTAAGTGACTCAGTCTAAAGATGTCTGCGCCCATAACAAAATATTTAAAATGTAAATGGTTATGCTATTTCTGATGCAAATAAAAGGAAAAAATTGTACATATTTAAAAGAAATTAAATTTTTCATAACATATTTAATTTTATCACATCTGTCATTTCTGAAAAATCCTGTTTACTAAATTTATAACAATTCGTCCTTCGTAAATTTCGTACCAATTTATGCTGCAAGACGTCTGAAATGGTAAAGAGAAAATAATGAAGGACAGATTGAATCAATATAACATTGAGCAGGTACACATAGTCAATTTCTGCATTTGATTATACCATGTGAAGATTACCCTAAGCCTTACTCTTGTGTTTTAACTTTTATCAGTTTTATAAGATTATTATTTTGTTACCTTTATTATTAATAATATGAAATTAGCCAAAGCCTATGAATGGGGAAGTCGGTTAAAAAAAGTCATTCATTTTTTTCGTTTTAAAGGCGTCATTTGGTATTTCATGCACCCCTTCCGTTTTCACTTGAACACTGAACGATTATTAATAAAAAAAATTGCGGCTGTTCAGTTAACGGAATGCCCCGCCTATTATCATTGAGTCACATTGAAAATGACGGAAGCCAACTAAAACTGACACTGAAAATTTCATTGAATTGTTTTTTTATTTGATTTTCTTTTAAATATTTTATACACCTGTAGTCTATAGCCAAGCCAAAGATGCAGGCCCGGCCTTTGATTTTCCCGTATTAGAATAATTTTTTTAGATTCAGTGTAGACAGACATATTTTTAGTTCTGTGATCTGAAAAAATATTGTATCTTGCAATTGTGACCCAAGTTTATGAGATTGTTACGATGAAATTAACAGGATGGCAAAAATGTCTGACCGTGCTTATATATATAAATGACATAAAAATTAATATTTCTAGAAAATAATAAGGATTAAGCCCTTTCATACAAACATCAATCAACAAGATGCCACTGACTGATTCAATATGTTTACTTGCAGTAATCTATCAATGCCTTAGCCGAACATGACACTAGAATCTGAGATACGTGCTAGAGTGAGAGAGATCCAAAATGGTATAAGAAATGGGAATGACCAACAACAGTTCCTTGACTGTTTGAAGAAAGTTTGCAAACTTCTGCCATGTGAAGAATCTTCTAGTGCAAAGGGTGATAATAAGGCTCTAGAGGACCAGGAATGCTCAAACATTTTCATGAAGAATCATTACACAAACTTTACAAAATTCCTTTTGGATTGTATTACTTTTGAAAATGTTGGACAGCTGACAAAAGCAGAATTTAATCAATACTTTCTTCATTTCTTTCTTAATGGCTGTTGTGAAGATGCTTTTCTTGCAGTAACATTTGCAATTCACAGTACTGGGTAATGTATTGTTGTTATTGTTATGCACTTATATTTCTTGGTTGTGACAAACATATTTAGCACAACTATTTGAAGAAGAGGGAGAGCCATTGTACTCAACCTGGCTTTGGTTAAGTTTTGCCGGCAAAATTGAATTTCCAAAACTACTGAAGGAAATGGTTTGAAACCTCACACACTTATTTGAGAGCATAATAGGAGGTCACTGTTCAAGGCGCATAACTCTAATATGGATTTTGAGTTTGGCCATTTTTTATTAAAAAAAAAAATTCTACATTATCCAGGCTCTTGTTTTACTTTCAAGCACACTGTGCTTGTCCTAACCACAACTCTTCTATGATTTATTAAATTTTATGGAAAAGTGCCTGACAATGTAATGAATTTTGATAATCAAGGTCTGATATTCTTGTCTTAATTTTGAATGTAATAATTTGTTAAACCTAATTTGATTGCTGTTTTTGTTTAAAATAATGAATGTCGTCACCATTTTTCAAACAAGATATATGATTTATTACATGCTTTTCGGTGGTTTATAGAAATATATCAGTGATATAAAACTGGTAATTTCACTGTTTGAAACAGTGAAATTACCACTTTGATAATTTCACTGTTTTGAATTTAAGCCCCCTACGTTGTTTCAGTGAAATACCAGCGTGCACAGAACTGGGTACCAACTTAATGACGTGACGTCGTAAATGACGTCACGTTATATTATTATTTGGCGCGTTTTTCATTCAGTATTAGGTTTAATGTCTTTTTAAAACGTTTCTTTGCATATAATAAAAAGAAAATGTGTTTAGTTTAGTGTAAGATCAAATATATTTCACCTTGTGAACACCAAAAGTTCATATTTCACTCGTGGCTGCGCCACTCGTGAAATATACCTTTTGGTGCTCACTCGGTGAAATATATTCCGATCTTACACTGAACTAAACAAATATCCTCTATTTCTTTTAGACAGCCACATTTATAACATAATATTGTACTTTAATATTCAAATAAATTTTGTAGGCCAAGTTTCAAGCTGAACAAATGTGTTATTATTCTGGAACAGTTTTTAAAGAAACACAAGTTAGTGGATATCTTATGTGAACAAAGTGCATTGAACAAAGATCGCGACTTACCTATGTATAACTGGAGAAGTGATGGCAGAGTACTACTTTGGGATACTATCATCACTGAAATTGCTTCACTTCCAGATAAACTAGCAAATAAACTAAAATCTGAGACCAGGTTTGTGGGACTTTCTTAACCCTAAATACCAAAGTTAATATTTCTTTACTTATATCTGTATATACATGTATGTAGTTTCATTATGAAGATTGGTAGTATTTGTTATGTTCCAGGTCTAATTGTAATATTTATCACAAAGGTTCATGCCCATTGGTCGTAACAAGACTTAAAAATCATCAATTTACAACTTTATGCGTAGGGAAAATGACATCATCCTAAGAAAGCAGTTTCATTCTAAACAGTGCTGAAATGATCATTTTCAAGCACATGACTAATCTGGCTCCAACAATGCCAGAGGAATGTTCTTTCATGGATAACCCTAACGAAAACACCAGTCTGGTATGCAAGAAAAACTGATCTTAACTTTTTTCAATTTGTTGAATTAAAATAATATTCTGATTTTTCTGGTCAACAATAGCGTTAACATCATAGTGTTTGTTATATCAATTGTTCCTGTTTCACATGAAAAGCATCAGTATATACAATGTATATTTTTGTTTGTACTGGCAGTTAAACAAAGAAGAAAACTTTATAAAACATATAAATTATGTTTTAATGTTTGTATTTTCAGTGATATATTTTTACCAAAGCATTTCATCCCACTTTTGATGTCAGACATTGTTAGGACACTTGTATCTGTATGTAAATATATAAGACTGTCTAAAGATTGCCATCTGGAATTTGTCAGTTCTTTGGTTGGAAAATTATGTCTTTGTGGTTATGCAGGTAATCTTTTTCCTTTCTTTAAGAAAAGATGTGTAGCTTTTTTTTTCATCTTGAAATAAATACAAAATTTAATATAAGGAAGTTATTTTTTAATTCATTTAGGTATGAGTGTTTAAAGCCATTTATTTTGTGCTTCAGAAATGTAAAAGGAGGAAGGGCTTGTTTGTCAAGATATCTCGAGTTGTGACAATGCTCAGAAAACCTACATGTAGTAAAATTAAGAAAACCTAGAATATGCATTATCCTTTAAAGAAATCTTTTGACCCCCACCTCTCTCAGATAAAGAAATCCTAGACGCATGCCTGGATTTTTTTCTCTATTACAGAATAGTTCTGGACAATCATGTTATTAAGTGTATAAATTAGTTTTGGTAATCATTTCTGTTATAAAACAGTTTTGGACATTTGTATCATTTTCATTATAGAACAGTTTTGGACAATCTTATTACGACAGACGTCTACATTGATCAGGAGAGATTTCATCTGGAGTAGAATATGTGAAAGGATTGTGACAGGTGTTCCTGATAGATGCATGGAGAGTGTACTTGTACCTCTTGTCAAACTTCTCCCATGGTAAATACTGTACAGTTACCATAGTTTTTTCGAACATGAACCTTTAACCTGCTGTACTGTGTCAATGATTTTCCAAGCTTTGAATTTTAAGTTTTAGGGATTTCAATATTGAAATATAGAAAAATTAAGCTACCAATAGTATTGAATCAAGTCAGACTACCCATCTATAATACTGTTGGCAATGGCTTATCAGTTTCTGTTCCAGCAGTTTAAGGAATAGTGCTTAATGGTCTATTGGATTTGACAAGCTTTAACTTTGTAACTGGCCAGTATCATTGATTAAAATGTCAAAGTGCAATGTACTAAAATTGAGTACATGTAGTGTTACTTTATTATGCTGTATAAAAGTGCAGACTGGCCTATTCCTAAAATGTTTACACAGAACTGCCATTATGATGAATAGGTTTTAGCTCATTTAAGGATCCAGCCTGAATTTGTTACATCTATTCATTAAATTCTTACAGACAGCTCTTTTATTAGCTCGACTATTCGATAAGAATAAGTAGAGCTGTTGTAGTCACCCGAGCGTCGGCGTCGGTGTAACCACTTATGTTAAAGTTTTTGTAATAGTTCAAATATTTTCAAAGTCCATTGACATATGGCTTTGAAACTTTGCACACTTGTTCACCATCATGACCCCTACCTGTAGATAGGAGGAGGTAACTCTATCAAGCATTTTGACAGAATTATGCTCCTTTTTAGCTCGACTATTCGATAAGAATAAGTAGAGCTATTGCAGTCACCCGAGTGTCGGCGTCCGCGTCGGCGTCCGCGTCTGCGTAACCACTTATGTTAAAGTTTTTGTAATAGTTCAAATATTTTCAAAGTCCATAGACGTATGGCTTTGAAACTTTGCACACTTGTTCACCATCATGACCCCAACCTGTAGACAGGAGGAGGTAACTCTATCAAGCATTTTGACAGAATTATGCCCCTTTTTCGACTTAGAATTTACGTTAAAGTTTTTGTAATAGTTCAAATATTTTCAAAGTCCATTGACATATGGCTTTGAAACTTTGCACACTTGTTCACCATCATGACCCCAACCTGTAAACAGTAGGAGGTAACTCTATCAAGCATTTTGACAGAATTATGCCCCTTTTTCGACTTAGAATTTATGTTAAAGTTTTTGTAATAGTTCAAATATTTTCAAAGTCCATTGACATATGGCTTTGAAACTTTGCACACTTGTTCACCATCATGACCCCAACCTGTAAACAGTAGGAGGTAACTCTATCAAGCATTTTGACAGAATTATGCCCCTTTTTCGACTTAGAATTTACGTTAAAGTTTTTGTAATAGTTCAAATATTTTCAAAGTCCATTGACATATGGCTTTGAAACTTTACACACTTGTTCACCATCATGACCCCAACCTGGAAACAGGAGGAGGTAACTCTATCAAGCATTTTGACAGAATTATGCCCCTTTTTCGACTTAGAATTTATGTTAAAGTTTTTGTAAAAGTTCAAATATTTTCAAAGTCCATTGACATATAGCTTTGAAACTTTGCACACTTGTTCACCATCATGACCCCAACCTGTAAACAGGAGGAGGTTACTCTATCAAGCATTTTGACAGAATTATGCCCCTTTTTCGACTTAGAATTTACGTTAAAGTTTTTGTAATAGTTCAAATATTTTCAAAGTCCATTGACATATGGCTTTGAAACTTTGCACATTTGTTCACCATCATGACCCCAACCTGTAAACAGGAGGAGGTAACTCTATCAAGCATTTTTTTTTACTATCAAGCACTAAGAATAGTCGAGCGTTGCTGTCCTACCGACAGCTCTTGTTCAACTTAGAATTTACGTTAAAGTTTTTGTAATAGTTCAAATATTTTCAAAGTCCATTGACATATGGCTTTGAAACTTTGCACACTTGTTCACCATCATGACCCCAACCTGTAGACTGGAGGAGGTAACTCTATCAAGCATTTTGACAGAATTATGCCCCTTTTTCGACTTAGAATTTACGTTAAAGTTTTTGTAATAGTTCAAATATTTTCAAAGTCCATTGACATATGGCTTTGAAACTTTGCACACTTGTTCACCATCATGACCCCAACCTGTAAACGGGAGGAGGTAACTGTATCAAGCATTTTATTTTACTATCAAGCACTAAGAATAGTCAAGCGTTGCTGTCCTACCGACAGCTCTTGTATATATATATTGCCAATTTCAACATATTATTTCAGGTATGGACTTATGGACAGATATTTAGGAAACTGTGTAACACAGAAACATAAGATACAGCTTCTCCTTTGTACCAAACTGATATTTCACAGGCATTTTAAATCTGTAAGCTATTTCTTAGTATTCACATTTAAAATTTGTGTCGAGTTCTGGCCTTATATAATATAGCTTTGAAAAACTGTAAGCCTATTTAACTAGGTTTGAACTGATGACCACAGGGTTCATGTACAAACACCTTACCTACTAGGCTGCTTTATTAAATCTTTTTTTTTATTCAAGTTTATTAACATAAAGCCATTACAATATATAAAAATGTTCTTACTCGTGAAGATAAAAAAATGGACTGCCTAGCACATGGCATGTTGAATTGATTTCATAAAGATTTAAAAGTTTTGTGCCAAACTCTAAAAGATTTGCTGCATAATATATTCCACTGTCCTTTCTTTGTGTGTGAATTTCTCAGCTTTTTAGCTCACCTGAGCATGCTCAGGGTGAGCTTTTAGGATCGATGATTGTCCTTCGTCCGTCCGTTCACATTTAGTTGTTAACACTCTAGCGGTCACATTTTTGCCTCAATCATCATCAAACTTGTTCAGGATGTTTGTCTAGGTGATAGCTCGGATGAGTTCGAACATGGGTCATCTCGGATGAAAAAGTAGGTCACCGGAGCTAAAAATAGAAAAACCTTGTTAACACTCTAGCGGTCACATTTTTGCATCAATCATCATCAAACTTGGTCAAGATGCTTGTCTAGGTGATAGCTCGGATGAGTTCGAACATGGGTCATCTCGGATGAAAAAGTAGGTCACCGGAGCTAAAGATAGAAAAACCTTGTTAACACTCTAGCAGTCAAATTTTTGCAACAATCATCATCAAACTTGGTCAGGATGCTTATCTAGTTGATAGCTCGGATGAGTTCGAACATGGGTCATCTCGGATGAAAAAGTAGGTCACCGGAGCTAAAAATAGAAAAACCTTGTTAACACTCTAGCGGTCACATTTTTGCCTCAATCATCATCAAACTTGGTCAAGATGCTTGTCTAGGTGATAGCTCGGATGAGTTCGAACATGGGTCATCTCGGATGAAAAAGTAGGTCACTGGAGCTAAAAATAGAAAAACCTTGTTAACACTCTAGCGGTCACATTTTTGCATCAATCATCATCAAACTTGGTCAAGATGCTTGTCTAGGTGAAAGCTCGGATGAGTTCAAACATGGGTCATCTCGGATGAAAAAGTAGGTCACCGGAGCTAAAAATAGAAAAACCTTGTTAACACTCTAGCGGTCACATTTTTGCATCAATCATCATCAAACTTGATCAAGATGCTTGTCTTGGTGATAGCTCGGATGAGTTCGAACATGGGTCATCTCGGATGAAAAAGTAGGTCACCGGAGCTAAAAATAGAAAAACCTTGTTAACACTCTAGCGGTCACATTTTTGACTCAGTCATCATCAAACTTGGTGAAGATGCTTGTCTAGGTGAAAGCTCGGATGGGATGAAAAAGTAGGTCACCGGAGCTAAAAATAGAAAAATCTTGTTAACACTCTAGTGGCTACTGTTGTGATCCAAATATTCTGTTAATTGGTCTGAAAGTTTGTTTTGATGATTTCTAAGTCAAGTTCGAACATGGGTCATCTTGGATGAAAAACTAGGTCACACCGCCCAAATATGGAAAAACCTTGTTAACATTCTAGTGGTCACATTTTCGACTCAATTATCATCAAACTTGGTCAGGATGCTTGTCTAGGTAATTGCTTGGATGAGTTCGAAATTGCATGTGGAACTAGGTCACCGGAGCTAAAAATAGAAAGATCTTGTTAACACTCTAGTTGCTACTGTTTTGATCCAAGTCCTGGAAATTGGTCTAAAAGTTTGTTTTGATGATTTCTAGGTCAAGTTTGAATATGTGTCACCTGGGTAAAAAACTAGGTCGCACTGCTCAAATATGGATAATCCTTGTTAACACTGTAGTGGTCACATTTTTGACTCACCTGTCATGAGACTTGGTCAGAATGCTTGTCTAGGTAATTGTTTGGATGAGTTTGATAAGTCAGGTGAGCGATCTAGGGCCATCATGGCCCTCTTGTTCATCTAGTCATGAAATGAAGTTTTATGGCTGTAATGTTTGTGATAGTGCCTTTAACTTATTTTAAAATAAATTCTAAAGTTCTAAGTATGTTTGTTGTAAAGTTTTAATATTGTGCATGTAATTATTTCTCAACAATATTTTGGATAAGTTATAGCTATTCCACTAAGAATGAGCAATTTTGATGGATCTAATTTCAGCCATTGATTCTGCAGAACATCATAGGTTATCTGGCAACGTCAACACCAAGGAAGCATCTTTATATAAAGGTTTGTGTAATTGCTTTTAGGTAGATAAAAATCTTGCAATGTAGGTCCGTCCGTCTGTACTTTTTTCCAAATTTTGTCCAGTCCATGAATTTATCATTTATGGGTGAATTTTATAATAATTTTGTATAAATGTGAGCACATTGGGGCACTATGTCATACAGGTCTGAAGCTCAAAGGCCAAGGTCACACTCTGACTTCAAAGGATTTTTTAAATAATAATGCATTTGGCCAGACTAGTTTTAACAACTGTAATACTATTTTGTGTGGTTCATACAATCTTTATACTGTTTGCTGCTTAACTCTGAAACCACAGATTTGCACAAGTCAGTTAACAAGTTATTTTAATATTACGTTTCTTCACTTATAACTTTATACCCTTTCACTTGGAAAAAAGGGAAACTATTCTCTTTAGTGCTCGTTATGACTGGTAACTTGTGTATTTCAGATTTAGAAATGTCATGAAATCTATTGTCATAAGGTTAGCCAGACAAATAGGTGTTTCACTCAGAAACAAGAATAGATTCTGATAAATTTATTCACTTTCATCATTATATGTGTATCATTTGTTACAGTTATTTCTGGAGCTGATACAGGTATGGGGCGACCAGAGTTCACTGACTCATACATCATATGAACAACACCATTATCTAACCCAAGCTTTTGTTATCTGTGTAGCTTTCTTTACTGAACAACATAAACAGGAACATAAAGACGGTATAACAGTTTCTTATATATCTAAACCTGCTAGATTTTCTTTCCAACTTCTATTTTTAGAACGGATTAGAAAGATTTGGCCCAAAAGTGAAAAAACGTTATGTTATGCCAAATCTTCAACATTTCAATTATCAGTTTTAAGACTATTTTAAGATGAACATGATTTAGAATTAGTCCGGCAACAGTACAAAGATAGTCAGAGTGCAGGCACTTGTCCCAAAGGTTAGTCCCCTTTGGTTCAAATAGGTTAATGGCTTATTTATAAAGTGTAGAGACAAACTTTAAAGTGCCTTTGGGCAAGTCACCGTGTTGCTCTTGTGGTTAAAATAACAGGTTTAAAATCACATGGATAAAATAGCAGGTTTAAAATCACATGGATAAAATAGCAGATTTAAAATCACACGTCCTATGTTTTTGCTTGTTTGAATGCGGTCAGGCAAATCAAACTCTTGTCATGTAATGTTATACCAGTAGTATTATATATGTCATAGAACAACAAATTTTTTTTGCTCGACCCAGTGGCTGAGTCATGCGTGTTTCAATGGGCATAGTGTCAACTTGGGTATTTCTTTAACTCGGTGTTCATTCTAAATTATTATCTATAATGCCTTCTATAAATACTTATTCCTTATTTATTCATATTTTTGTAGAAATTCTTCGTCTACTGATGCCCGGCATACAGACACACATTGGTTCCTCAGATCATAAGGTGCGCCGGCTAGGCATGTATGTAGCGGAAGTTGTTACTGCAGCCATTGATCCTGAGGGTCCAAAACTTAATTTTGAGGTAAGTCGACCTTTTAACTGTTTCTTTTGTTTTATTGAGTGTAATGTCATATTGTGACATAGTATATGTACTGCTTCACTGTCCTATAATGTTTATTCAATATTGGTGTGATTGATCATCATTTCTTGTTTAAAGTTCAGTTTAATGTGATTTGTTTTATAATAACATGGTTTGATTTATTGCAATGTGTTTTGTTTTTATTGTAATTTTGATTTGATTTATGGTAATGTGATTTGTTGTTTGTGATTTGTTTGATTCTAATGTAATTTTATTTATTATAACGTGATTTGTTTAATGGTATTGTGATTTGTTTAATGGTATTGTGATTTGTTTAATGGTAATGTGATTTGTTTAATGGTTATGTGATTTGTTTAATGGTAATGTGATTTGTTTAATGGTAATGTGATAAGTGTGATTTGTTTTATGATTAATTATTTCAGATAGAAACAGATGAGGAGATATTAGCATTAAAAAGATTACTACAAATACCAGAGGACCCTGTCGTGGACATCATGGATGAGTTAGTATTTACTCTGTATATATGTGTCAGGAGTTATTTCATGTAATTATTAAAATAAATGAGTATAGGAAATTATTTAATAATAAGCCTTGTGGCTTTTTAAAAACAATTTATATGATAAGAAAACAAACATCACTTAAGTGTGATCATATTTATATATTTATAAAAAAAGCCAACAATATCAAAATCAGTATATTTTTGTTCCTATTGATAATAAATAACATATGTTGAAGAATGATTTATAAAGGAAAATAATTGCAATAACTTTCAACAGTTCAATTTTATTAAATGTGTCCCTTTGCTTAACATTGTAATGTTAATCTTATTTGAAAGTAAATTTAAATTAAACAAATTTGCAAACAAGCTCAGACAAATGCTGTTAACCTGTAGCCAACATTTTATTACATTATGTTATATAAAATATAGGTGATGATCGAATACATTAGAAATTAGTTGCAAACTTTTACATATTTAGATTGATATTATTTGAAAACAGGATATATATTATATGTTTATCTGAAATTCCTTTCTATTACTCCACCCACTTATATAGTCATGCAACTGTAATTAATATGTTAGTACTAACGGTAGATATATATTTTAAGTTACAACACTACTATATTGACAGGGAGATTGCTATGATGTTGTCAGAAAGATCTGGAGATATTGTGATGTTTGGTCTAGATGATGTCAGTATATTAGGAGAACAAGCTTTACAGGAACCAGCCAGCAGTGTGCCTCTGTCAGCTGAGAAAGTGCGGGAACCAGATTCTGATCTTGATAGGTCTGCGTTAAGATATGTTAAATAAAATGATTTTAAAAAAATTGGCCAAAGCATAATAGTTTTTATAAGCCCAAGAGAATTTATTATATTATGCCCATGGACCCTGGCCATCTGTTCATTAGAGCTGTGTATTAACAGTTTCACAAGTTCAAGGTTTTACCGTTTAAGATGAAGTTTTTAGTCATAGAATTACTTGCCGTCCAATATCTTCTGTACACATTTGGGAATAGTCATGCAAATTTAAATGATTATCCCAATGAGCTTTCATGCAGATCATATGATGTTAGAAGCAATTTCAGTTAAGAAGTACATAAGATTGTTACTATGTAACTGGTTAATGCAATGTAATCTTTAAGTATATTTTTTATTAGAATATTTGTTTTGCAAGTGTACAACTGTTCCTGAATAGTCTTTTTTTAATGTATGTTCAATGTAAGCCATGCTCATTTCTGTCCTAAATGTTTATCATTTGTACATGTGCTTTATATTTCAGTGATGATGACCTTGAACCCTATGATATGTCACATGACACAAAGACTTCCAAAGTGAGGCAGCCTAAATATATCAGAGACTGTATGGAAGGTAAGTTAATATGATTGTGTATTCTTTATCAGAGGAAAAATTCAAACATGTACATGTATCTTTATTCTTTAACCTGACATCACTAAATTCATAAAATAGTCTTGTCCTGCTATGACTTTGGAACGGTTCATTGTAAATTTTAGGGGTTAAGATATCAAAGTGATAAAATTGGGCAGTCAACATTAATAATTCTCGCCAGGCTAATCCACCTCCTTATTTGTGGCATAGGCAATTCACGATGCTATTTTTATCCAAGCATCTTATTATTTTATTGTAACAGGTTTGATAAATTGTGAGAATCCAGATACATTAGAAGCTTGTTTGACAGCTGCCGAGAATCTGATAAGAGCCAACAGAGATGGCCTGGCACAGGTTTGTACCTATCTAGTTAAGGGAGCTCTGCTGAAGTCCAAAAGCCTAAAATCATAAATTTTGAAAATCTTACATTAATCAGTTAGGCACTTAAAAAGTATGTAAAATATAATAAAGAGATATACATGTGTACTCTGAATTCATTTGAAACACATGTATATTGTTATCAGAATTCAATTGAAATTCTATATGATGGTCAGAATATTAAAACAGTGCGATAAAATTTTGAAATGTATTTAATAAAGTCCCTCAGTGATAATTTGATTCACTTTAAAGAAATAGTATACATGTACATCATAATCAAAATTTTTATATATTTTTTAATATTCTATGTTTGTAACTATATATTCTATTTTACAGATTAGTGTAGAGTTCACTAAAGTTTTGTTACATCTCACAGAAAGTTACTCATTGCCAAACTTCCGCAGTCAGAGGTTTAATGCCCTGGTAGCACTGGCTGTGACATGCCCAAAACAGGTAAACTGTAGTACTTTGACTAAAATTTAATGAGATACTTAATATGACCTGTTCAAAAAAGTCAAAGTGAGCTCTCATAAAAGCAGAAATGTGGCTAAAATCTCTTCAACAGGTTGTTAAAACTTTATAAGTAAATCTCCTTTATATGTAGTTGTGATTTTAGTCAGCATGTCACATATTTTCTTTGTTAGTGCAACAGTAAATTAAAGAAACTTTTTGCACAAATGGATATAGATAAAAAATTGACAACATTTTTGTTAAATGTGCAACAGAGATTTTGACAACTTTCATTTGAAGACCGATAGTATTGTATTTTAGCTAAAGAGATTTAAGGGGGGAAAGTAAACACTGATCTTTTTAAGGGCCCATTAAGCCCCAAAGTGTTATTACTTTTATTGTCCCCCGCCTTTTCGAAGAAAAAAGGGGGATATAGAAATAGGCTCCGTCCGTCTGTCCGTCCGTCTGTCTGTCCGAGCAGACGAGAGCTACATTATGAGGTTTAGGTTTATGTACAGGCACTCTGTATGGGGTTCATTCCGTAGAGACATGTATTATGTGGTTAAAAATGCTCTTATGGGGTTAAAAAAATTTGCTCTTGTGGGGTTAAGAGATCAAAGGAATAACCCCACAAACACGTCTGCTAAGTACGTCCGTCCATCTGTCCGTCTGTCCGTCCGTCACACTTTCGTGTCTGGTCCATAACTTTGTCATTTATGAAAGGAATTTGAAATAACTTGGCACAAATGTTTATTATAATAAGACGATGTGTCATGCGCAACAACCAGACCCCTACCTCCAGGGTCTAGGTCACACTTGCTCATTGACGGTCAAAATTGCCTATTTGAGGGTATATGTCGTGTCCAGTCCATAACTTTCTTATCTATGAAGGGATTTTGTAAATACTTGCCATTATTGTTCACAATAATCAGACGATGTGTCATGCGCAAAAACCAGTCACCTACCTTCAAGGTCAAGGTCACACTTGGAGGTCAAATATTAACATAGTCTGTTACAGTGTATATTTCGAGTCCGGTCCATAACTTTCTTATCTATGAAGGGATTTTGTAAATACTTGCCATAATTGTTCACAATTATCAGACGATGTGTCATGCAGAAAAAGCAGTCACCTACCTTCAAGGTCAAGGTCACACTTGGAGGTCAAATATTAACATAGTCTGTTACAGGGTATATTTCGTGTCCGGTCCATAACTTTCTTATCTATGAAGGGTTTTTGTAAATACTTGCCATAATTGTTCATAATAATCAGACGATGTGTCATGCGCAAAAACCAGTTGCCTACCTTCAACGTCAAGGTCACACTTGGAGGTCAAATATTAACATAGTCTGTTACAGGGTATATTTCGTGTCCGGTCCATAACTTTGTCATTTATCAAAGGAATTTGAGATAACTTGGCACAAATGTTTGTTATAATAAGACGATGTGTCATGCGCAACAACCAGACCCGTACCTTCAGGGTCAAGGTCGTACTTGTTCATTCAAGGTCAACATTGTCTATTTGAGGGTATATGTCGTGTCCAGTCCATAACTTTCTTATCTATGAAGGACTTTTGTAAATACTTGCCATAATTGTTAACAATAATCAGATGATGTGTCATGCGCAAAAACCGGTCACCTACCTCCAAGGTCAAGGTCACACTTGGAGGTCAAAAATTAACATAGTCTGTTATAGGGTATATTTTGTGTTGAATCTAGAACTTCTTCATAGTTCAAGGGATTTTGAAATAACTTGGCACAAATAGTCACAATAATAAGACGTTATGTCATGCACAACACCTGCTCCCCTACCTCCAAGGTCAAGTTCACACTTAGAGGTCAAAGCTTAACATGATAGATTTTTAAATTCCGTGTTTCATTTTATTTTTTTAACAAATTTATTGTTACATTTGCAGATCTAGCATTGATCATAAATTTGGACTGAATGTCCTGAGATCCATACCTCAATCTTTTGAAATAGCACAATTTTATGCTTCATATAAAACTCCCGGGGCGGGGGACGTTGGTAACTCTGTTACAAATTCTTGTTTATCAAAAAGCCTTTATTTTTGGTGACCTTTTACAGTTTCCAAGAAAAACCTGAAGCATCTTTTGCTTCTTTCACTCTTGGCAATTAGTACAGTTTATACATAGATTTAGTATTTTGTATGAAGGTCAAATTTATTTGAAATAAGAGTAATTTTCAGCTTATTGTTCATGTGTTAATATTTACAATTAAGAAAATGATTTCAGGTTGCTGAGTTTTTGACAGAGCAGTTTTATGATAGGAACTACAGTATTAGACAACGGTTTGATATAATTGAGGTATGATGTTTTTTTTTCTTTATTCACTGACAAAAAAAATCAACGCTTTGTCTTTGCAATTGTTTATAGTTTCATCATTGATTGCATTTGCTGCACGTGTAAATTATCAACAAATTTGAAGATTGAAATGTTACAGATATGAATTAAAATACCAAGATGGAATTTTTTACAATTAAATGTATAATGCACTGTAGTAAATGCTTATACGTCATGTATATGCTTGACTACAACATACTTCCCTATCAATCTTGTGCGCTATTGGTTAGGTAGCAGATTTCAAATTATATGGTTAATACTACTGAACATAGGGACATTGTATTACATTATGTCAGGAGGAGTTATCATCAAGCTAGCATTATATTTAAATAGGTCTGTTGTGTTATTTTTTATGCCTAGACCTTGTCTAAAGTAATGTATGGAGATAGAGAAATCAACTTACAAGTCTTTATATGGTGGTACTATTTAAATTCAAAATACAATTTTAATGATAAATTAAAAAAAAATCAGTTAAGTTAACATAACGATAATCACTGTCAGGTTATTGGAACAGCAGCACAAGAGTTATCCCGTCCTGTGGACCCGAGCACCACAACCATGCCAGAGGTCAAACAGAAAGTACAGGAAGTGAGTGCGTGCAGTGATGACCCGGACACCTGGAGAGATGTTGTACAGAAGCGTATAGACAGCAAGACAAGGAGGTTCGGTCAGGGCAAAACCAGACCTGATCCCCGGCCTACAGAGAACCGATTCTCAGCTGTAGCTGGTTATTTCTTCTACTCGTTGATGAAAAACTTCGACAGGTTGTTATTTTGTTAGCAAGATTTTTTGGTACTGGATATTTACCTTGATTATGAGTATTTATTCGGTGTGAGTACCAACTTAGCGGATTTAGAATTAGGCCTTGTAGTTTATTTTCCGAAAAAACACTGCATTTAAGTGGATTAAGAATTTGGCCTTGTGGTTTATTTGCTTTGAAGACACTGCAGTCATTACTATGCCAATCTGTTTGTGGGAGTTGTTCATTATATATGTATGTGTAAGACATCACCTTTATATTTCAGACAAGAGAATACGTTTGATTTACTGGGTGAGGATTGTTGTGTTCTCAGCCGTCTGCTGTATACACTTGGTATAGTAATGTATGCAGCCTCTAATATCCCTGTAAGTTATTTCCTGAATATTATAATGATTGTGTGATAAAACTATTACCTGCTCAATACCGTTAAATGAGATATTTTCTTGCAGCCCAAAATCGCCAAATTAGCATGGCAGAATAATTGGCGGGTTTAAATATTTACCAATTGGTTCTGTCGTTAATGTTATATTTTTTGTTATATACTTAGATACTTACAGAACATTTGTTTACAAAAAATCTTCCATTCGGGAATGTAACAAAATTTATTCCCTTGCAATAATTTCTGACTTTACAGTACTAATTTGGTTTGCACCTATGAAATTTAAGATACAAAAAAACTAAAATCTGAAATAACTAATGAAATAAAATGCAGTACAGTTTAATTTTTTTACTAAAAAATTTTTGCCCCCATTGTGTTAATGGGCAGTTGTCATGGTTTGAGCTGCGACCTATGCATTGTGTAAGTTACAGACATCATAAGTTAAAGTTATATGAATTGAGATTACAGAAAGCCCTTGTTTTACTGTCAGACATTGACAATAGCCAATCAGATCTTCCTACCGCCAACTCTTGTTTACTAATGGTTGCTATTTCTGTTCAGGTGCCTTATATAATGAACAGATAGGCACATGAGATCTACATGCACCATAAACCTTTAACGTACCATATATCTATTTCAGTGTCAATCACTCAATGCGAATTTAAATCTATGCAATAAAAAATAATGTGTAATCAAGCGCTTCCCTAGTTTTATTAAAGGAAAACAATTGTTGTTTGATGTTAAATGAAGATTTGTTATGTAGATCATCATATTGATCTGATAGCAGAACAAAATACTAGTATAATCAAAGTACAGAGACACTGAATTTGTTTGGGTCTCAGAATGTCAGAAAGGTGAAGGTTGTAGGATTATAAACCAATTTGTTTGTATAGAGTCACCAATGCTGTTTCCAGTGTTATAACTATAATAAATTGGCTATAAGACTAATTGCAACACTGATATTCAATTCAATGTCTATTTGGCTTAAACAATTTAAAAAAAAAACAAAAAACAAAAACATGAGTTGCCTCAAATGGGATTTGGAAGCGAGTAAACCCCTCGACCACCCAAACAGATTAAAACCAAACAACATATTTCTAATTTACAGACTGTGAGACAAATGGCAGCTTGTTTACTGGAGTTTATATGGGTGCTGAGGTTTCATTCTGATGTGTAAGTTATTTTCATACATAGATTTATCACAATTTTTAAACATACATTTTGTAATGATAGAGGCATTCTGATATTAGACAGGAAACATTGCAAGAATTGAAAATAACAGTTGCTTTGCTCTAGGTAGACTATCATCTATAGATTATTAGCACGACTATTGGAAGAATAGTGTGAATTATTGTACTCATGTCAGTTTTGATGTTGTTAAGATTTTGCATACAAGTTGGTATCTCCAAAACTACTGGAAAAAAATGGGTTGAAACTTCATTCACTTGTTCCCTGTAATCTAACATGATGGGCACAGGTGCCATAGTTCTGAGTTACCTTTTTACAGAGTTATGCCCATTTTCTTACTGTCAAGCACTGCAATAAGTCGAAGGTGTTGTCTTACATGCATCTCTTGTTATATTTACAGGAATGTCCGTCATGGTTTATTGTTTGCAATATCTATGGTGTATTTGGCTGTTCCACCTAACGTGTTACTGAAAGATCTACAGCAGGAAGTGTTTGAGTCCAAAAATTGGCTTGAAGGTATTATAAACACATTACAGTACTGTCATACAATACAATACTGATCATCTTATACCCTGAAAGTAGCTTATATTTTCCAAGGTTATTTAGAGGGGAAAATTTTTAAAGAAATATTATCCTTTCAGATATATGTACTTACATTTTCCTAGATTATTAAAAGAAAGAGAAAACAAACACATTTAAGTTGGTTATATTTTCCTAGATTTTATATAGAGAAAAAAACTTTTAAAGTGCTTGTTTTTTCCTAGCTTATTTAGAGAAACAAAAAGAAACCTTAAAATGCTCATAATTTCCTACATTATTTTGAGAAAGAAAAAAAACAACAACTTTAAGATGCTTGTATTTTTAGCTCACCTGTCACAAGCTTTTGTGATTGCTTTTCGTCCGGTGGCCATCTGTCCGTCTGTAAACTTTTACTTTAAAGACATATTATAAACCTTTAAGCCTATTTCATCAAAACTTCACAGGAATGTTCCTTTGGTGGTCACCTTTGAAAATTATTCAAAGAATCTAATTCTATGCAGAACTTTGTTTGCCATGGCAACTGAAAGAAATTTTTTTTTAAAAATCTGCTTTTGAAAAACCCAAAGAGCTAGAGCTTAGATAATTGGCATAAAACATCTTCCACTGAGTGCCTACCAAATTTGGTCAAATAAAAGCCCTGAGGTTAAAATTGGCCCCGCCCTGCGGTGGTCATTTATTTTCCTTATACAATATGTCTATATTAAAAACTAAAAAAATCTTCTTTTCAAAAACCCAAAGAGATAGAGCTTAGATATTTAGCAGGAAACATTTTCTAGTGAATGTCTACCAATTTGTACAAATATAGCCCTGGGGTCAAAATTGACCCCGCCCCCAGGGGGGGTCATTGTTTTTCCCTATTATGTATATAGTAAAAAACTGAAACAATTTTCTTTTAAAAAACCCAAAGAGCTAGAGCAGGAAACATTTTCTAATAAGTGTCTACCAAGTTTGTTCAAATAAAAGCCATGGGATTAAAATTTGCCTGGCTTAGGGGGAGTCATTGATTTTCCTTATATATATGCATAATAAAAACTTAAAAAAAATTTCTTTTAAAAAACACAAAGAGCTAGAGCTTAGAATTTAGCAGGAAACATTTTCTAGTGAGTGTCTACCAAGTTTGTTCTAATGAAAACTCTGGGGTCAAAATTGGCCCCACCCCCTGGGGGTTATTGATTTACTTTTTATGTACAGTATATATTAAAAACTAATGTTTTTACACATGCATTATTTCAGATACAAATATGAACTTTGTGATTTCAGTTTAAGATTTAGATTTTATATCTGCTTTTGTTTATAGTGTACAATATTACTTGTTCCTTGTCATTGAGAGTTTATATATAGGTGAGCGATTTCAGGGCCATTTTGGCCCTCTTGCTCTAGATTATTTGGAGAAAGAGAAAAAAATACCTTTAAGATGCTTGTATTTTCCTAGATTACTTAGGGATTTAGATTCTTTAAATTTCCTGAGGAATTTAGAGAAAGAGAAAAAATATACTACCATTTATGATATTTATATTTTCCTACATTCTTGTATGATCTTTAAAATGATGCTGATAATTATTTGCAAACACAAGTCTCGTTAAATCAAACATAATATGAGCCGCGTCATGACAAAACCAATATAATGGGTTTGCGACCAGCAACGATCCAGACCAGTCTGCGCATCCGCGCAGTCTGATCAGGATCCATGCTGTTCGCTACTAACCCTATTACAAGTAGAGAATCTGATAGCAAACAGCATGGATCCTGATCAGACTGCGCGGATGCGCAGGCTGGTCTGGATCCATGCTGGTTGCAAACCCATTATGTTGGTTTGTCATGACGCGGCTGATATGTTTATCATTCAAATGCTATGTAATATAATTTAACAGAGTTAATTTGGCTATTTGTTTTTGTTTTTCTGTTACAGATGTGGTCGACAAGGATGTAGATACAGAATGTAAAAAATTAGCTGTACAAGCATTGGTGCTTCTAGAAAATATCATAAAACAGGTAACAATTTTATGTGAATTATTTGACATCATACAATAACTTGAGCTGTACTAGGTTACTTTAATTTTTCGATTTCCATATCAATTATGACTACATGATAAGCAGTATAAGGCAAAAATTAGGTTCTAGATGCAAAAATAATTCAAGCTTGCTGAGCTTTATGAAAGATGTGTTTTGGTCACAAATTTTAAAGTTTCACTATTTTTATTTTATTTTTTCCTTTAGCAAAGACGAGAGTAAATAAATCAATAAAACAAAACAACTTATAATCTGTATGATTTACTCTTGCCCTAAATCTCAGGCCTATCTATTCATACTTGATAATGAAATAATGACCTTGAACAGTTTGATTGATAGCCTTGTTTACAAGTTTGGCTTTCCATTTTACGTAAGTTCCACATGTAAGGCCATATGATTTTTACTTTAGTGTATATCTTAAGTCTAGCAGGATAAGGTCATCAAAATTTTGAGGTCAAGTGGTATTCTGATCTTTATTTTAACATCACTGTTTAAAGAAAGATCCATTGATTAAAAAAAAAACTCTTTCATGATTTGATCCATGTTCATTAATTAATATGAATATGTATGAATCCTGGTCCAGAAAATAACATAATATTTTAATTACAGATATGACTATGTACTTGAAATACCTTGCTATTAACTTTATAAATTAAAGTGATTAGACATTTACTTAATCATTTATATTTATAACACAAACCAGATCAGATTTCACATGAGGTAACAGGAGGGTGGCCGCACACAGGCTTGAGCCCTGAACCTATAAATTTTAAAGGCAAAAAGTTTACACCTTTAAATCAAGAGGCATCTTTCCTCACTAGCATACCATTGCAGTGAACCTTTGTTTGAAAACTTGCAATGGTCCCTTTTGATAATTTAAAGCTTTACTTTTGGCAAGTTTATTATTGTCCTAAAAGCTTTTAGCAGTAGTGACTGGAATATTGCACTATAGGGGCAAGTCATCGTGAAAAACAACTTAATTCTTAATCTGCTAGAACTAAAAGTGAATAGCCTTTGCCACCAGTATAGAGCTTGGCAAATCTCCAGATTCATGCACTCTGACCAGGCTCTATTATGTTGTTCGCTGATAAAACTTCAAATGTCCATGTTGTTATCCCTTACAAGATAATTGACAATTCCAAAACTGGGACCTGGACAAGTTCATTTTAGGATTAAAGCAGGTTAAGGGCTTGCAGTCTTTAACATTATTTCTGGGGGAACATGATTTGTTTTCATGTGTTGAGAAATTTATTTGGAACAAACCATATCTAGACTATGTACTGTACATTCTGTCATGCAACAGATAATGTACTTTCACACCAAGTTACCTTAATTCATTATTCATAAAGTTCATAAAGGATTTTTTTTGCATTTCAGGAGTTCATGTCAGATATAGATCTAACCTGATAGCCTTGTACTAGACGAGCTGTTTGGGACAGTTCCTAAACACGAAGAAACTTGTGTGACAAGGAAGTTTTACAACGAATGAAAGCTTTACAAACTGATCTTACACAACTGTCGATATAGTGAACAAAGTTCGCATTAACTGCAGGTTAAATGAGGACGTCATTTCATTGTTAGTTTGATAAATAGTTTTCTATGCATTTTGCATGTTATTCCTGCCGAATTTAAAGGACCACCGTTCATGAATGGACCACCTGTCAACGTGTATTATGTTTAGCTCACTTGCAAATTTGCATTAGGCATACAGTTTACATGTACTTGAATTTATGTTAAACCATGACGTAGTTTATTATGTGACGATACATAAACAGTGATGCCAGGCAAAACGTGTTAAGCTTCCTTATCAAAGTGCTGCAAGGATCACTTGTGATGTCATCATGTTAATGTAGCAGGAAGTGAGAGAGTTTAACCCTTAGCTTGCTGAGAAAATTGTCGTCTGCTAAAAAATTTTGAAAGCTCAACTTTTTGAATTGTATTCTATTTCTTGTAATAATATAAACAATTTCAGAATAGAAAATATTCAAATTATGAAAATAGTGGTTGACTGCTATTGGTACCAAATAATACACATATACTGAGATACTTATCTGGTACGAATGGTACCAATTTGGTAGCAAATGTTTTTTTTTATGATCTCTGACGACGTCAACAAGATTTGAGTGAAATCAATGATGTATATCAAGAAAGTATGGCAGCTAAACTTTTAGGGTTGCAATTGCAGTTGGAGTAGAAGATTGGGATGGCATTGTTACTGGACTAACTTTATACGTTTTATAAAGGATGCAAATACATATACAAAATTTGTTTTATAAAAAATAAATGAGATGCGTTTGTTAATCTTCGTTTGGGACTTTAACTTTGTTCATGTTAAAATGTGCCATTTATTTTTTTTTGGTTCTGTTAAGAAATATATGTTACAGTACTTGCTGCTGTTGTTGTTGTTGCTACTGCTGTATTTTAAACATTCAATGAATGTGCCCGATGGTAAAGGGGGATTATATTTACTTACCCTATGAAAGCTGTAAGTTTGATTCCCACCAGAATCAACCAGGCCGGTTTTTATTCAAGTGCTTAAAAGTTCAAATTAATACTCTGAGGATTACTGATGTCCTTTTGGGAGAACAGTATCTTGACCTATCAGTATCTTGACCAACTGCGAAGTAAATCTGTTTATGTGAAGTCTTACGTCAGTGTAATATGTATTAGTTATGTAAATGTGCACGCAGTATGCGTATGTATTATTCAAGTAAATGTGCAAGCAGTGTGCGTATGCATTATTCCTGTGAATGTGCAAGCAATGTGCATATGTATTACTCCTGTAAATGTGCAAGCAATGTACGTATGTATTATTGCTGTAAATTGCAAGCAATGTGCGTATGTATTATTTCTGTAAATGTGCAAGCAGTGTGCGTGTGTATTATTCCTGTAAATGCGCAAGCAGTGTGCGTATGTATTATTCCTGTAAATGCGCAAGCAGTGTGCGTATGTATTATTCCTGTGAATGTGCAAGCAGTGTACGTATGTATTATTCCTGTCAACGTGCAAGCAAAGTGTGCGTTTCTGTTTTCTGAATAATATTTTTTCGATATACCTTCCATTAATTGTTTTCAGTTTATGTTCTTTAGCCTATTAATTGAAAATAAGAGGAGAAAATTTTGTGTTTAAAATGCAGTGATCTCTGTGTATATACATGTCTGACGCTTTACAGCTATAAACATGTCTATGTCATATTTTTTTCGCAGATAACAACCAATGAGTTAAATCTCATTTCAACATAATTTATTGATAGTTAAGAACACCATGAATGTAAAATAAAGAGGTTATATTATTTCGAGAAAATACAATACGAAAAAACCACTAAATAATTGATCAGTGCCGACTCTTAGTTCTTTATACACGTGAAAAAGTTCAAACGGTTTTGATTTCTTCGAAGAGACATGTAACCTTCCTATGCTTACTCAAGTAAAACATTTGACTTTATAAAATATTTAAGACGACTCCATAAAATATATAACCTAGTACATGTACCAGCTATGAAAAAAACCCATCATTTTCACAAGAACTTATTGGATATACAAACAATCGTACACTAAGGTAAGATTATGTTTGTGAAAAAAAACTTGTTTGACAATGGTTCCGACTTTTCTGGGGTTATCTGTTGTGTTTCTTAAATGAGTGCCAAGCTTCTACATTATATTATCAATTTTTGGAACATTAAGACGAACAAGACTGCTGGCTTGCACGGCTCTATGCTGGTGGCAAATAATTGTCACCTCCGGTTGCGTTGAAGCAGAATGCCTCTAGATTCGTGCTAATTTTCACGATTTTTTTTAAATGTATTAAAAAATAAATATTGTAAAGTGAACAATGTAATTTACACATTGAAAACGGTACTTAAAATTTTCAAAAAATACCAAACATGTCGGCATGTGCAAAAAGAGTCCTCATTGCGTTAGTCACGCAGTAGAAGTATGGTGATAAATACTGCAAAATCAGGCATCAATTGTATATAACATGTAAATTATTTATTGAATAGTGAATATTTTTACTTTCTTTAATTCTAGTACATTTTTTTCCAATGATTTTTTAAAAATATTTTGTCTCACCTGGAAAGAATAGAAAGAATGTTTATAGATCAGCAGGTCTCCTGATAAACTACCAAACTTTAAAATACCAAACTTATCCATTAAGACTAGAGATTATGAAATGTGTAGATATTCAAAATCGCTGTTGTATACAAAATATGTCAGAATTAGATATTTTTACGAACATATTTCTACACCGATTCCGTTACCAATTTAGTTAAGGTTTTGACAACTGTTAGGTTATTTATGATAATTGTGTTATCGCCTTACAAGGTATTCTTGACAGTATTTTAAGGCCCATTATGCCTAAAAATTGCTATGTTTTATATGAAATATTACAAAACACATTTTAGCCAGTTTCGAGATTAAAACTTGTAGTCGTTTCTTAAAAACTTGAATTATACTTGAAATTATACTATTTTCTTCGTTGCCTATGCTAAAGTTTAAGGTCAGTATTTTTTTTAAGAAAGATAGATTTGATCTAAAAATTGTTGTTTGTTGGATTTCTTGTTGTTGTTGTTGTTGCTGCTGCTGTTGGTTTTTTTGTTGTTTTTTGTCAAATATAATAGACATTTAATTTTATCATTTTTCATTTGTTCCTGAATACTCTAAAATATCCGGCTCCTCGATAGTGTTATTTTTTCAGGTTACAAACATCTTACATTCTCTAAAACCATTATTTGAACATTATGAAATTCTTGTTTACCGTTTGTAAAGATGTAAAAAAAATTGTTTCTGGGGCAGAATGTGCCTGTTAATTATTGGAATTGTATTTATGCACAATCATTATTACATTTGAGAGCTGCGTCATGTTGACAGCGTCCCTAGAATATTAACAGTTTCAAGTTACTCTTTGTGTCTGTTTTTTGCCCATTAAGTGAACAGCATATCAAATTATCAGTGTATCATGTTTATGTTGTGGAATTATTTATTGGACATTTGATTAGATATTCGCCTTAATTACAGCTCGTCAATAATTCTTGATGATCAAGAAAATTCCATGCAAGTCACGCTTACGCAGTATTAGAGTACATTATACACATGCAAACTTGATGAAATAAAATTTACTGAATATCACGCTACACCGGAATAACCAGAAAGTGACGATATCTAAGTAAACGATTTTATTCTTCTTGCTTTGCTCCAATATGCAAGCATGGATTTTAGACGACTTGCTCGGTATCTGAACCCACTGTTTTAAATTTAACTCATTCAAGCCACTGGTTCATAACTGCCAGTTATGGATATTTAATGTGTACTTGCTGAGAGTAAAGAATAATTAATTTAGTAAATTAGATTTATCTGCCAAAACAGAATTAAAAGGAGAAAAGTGAGAGAAAAAAAGCAAAAAAACCCAACAACAACAAAAGTAAAATTTTAAACAACAATATCAACAACAAATAAGAAACAAACCAACAAAAACATTTAACGACAGCGAAAACAGATTATCTTTGCACTATGGCGAAGTGCATACTGAGTATGCATATAGTATAAGATACGAACTGTTAACGTGTAATGCGCGCCTATTAGTCATAAATTACAAATTACGTTCACTATTAAATGAGGATATATGTAATGGTATACCTTTTAGCCTCTCTAATGGTCTACTTGGCGAACTTAATGACCTTACATATAACATCGCCTTTTGATTAATGCGAAAACGAGGCTTGGTTAATTAACGCAATTTCAAGCTAACATGTTACTTTGTTGTCGTCATTAATTTACAATGAGAATATAAATACTGGGCAGGTGGTTATATGATAAATGACCGGATCAATCAGTTTTAGAGCTTTTATTGCTCCGGAAATAATAATCTTATTTTCAATATTAAAGATAGCTCTTTCCGGTTAGTTTTAATTAAGGCGCCAAGTTGTGTAAGGTACAGAACAGAACATGTGAATATAGCCATAATGGATCTGTGACATGTATAAAACGCATTAATTTAGATAAAAAAACACAGGCTGTTGTTTCTTTCATCAAATAAATTCTTGTTTTAAAAGATGTGTAAACAATATCTTATTGGCGAAATATATTCTACATTTTTTAATAAGCAAATTTGAATCTGCAAAAGGGTATGGTATTTTTGTAATTACGATCGTCAACAGGTCACAGATTTTATAAAATATAAAAGAAAAATACTCTACAGCTAGACATATACATGTATTCTGCAGAAACAATATTTGTATATGATGTGTCCATTGGGCCAAATGCTGATTTGCACGATTTTCTCGTGTTTAAGCGGAAATGCGGTGATTAAGACGGGAATCTTGGGAATACTTTTTTCAGTGATTAAAGTCACAAAGAGAAAGAATCAAAGATTTGCCGTCTTGTTATCATTTGGATACTCGCCAGTCGTGTGAGATTTGTCGTCTATAAAACAATTGTATTTGCACCATATGAAAATGTTTTATTGGAAACGGATTTCACTTTATGTATTTATTTGGTGACCAGGGGAGGCGGAGTTGAATGGAGGTTACCGGCAACTTAAATGATATATGACGTCATTGTAGTTTGGAGGAGGTCACGAGCACCTAAGGTGAACCACCGACTTCCGTAAGTTATTAGCCGTATAGCTTTCTCATATTAATGAAAGAGCGTGGTAAGAAGTAAGTTTATCGAAACAATCAAAGTTTAGTTGAAGAAGCTTTATGCTGTGGCTGAATTAATACTCTCCAAAATACGAGGGGCATTAAACCGTAAAATACGATCTAAGAAACAGATCGTCTCCTAGTGAATGACTGGAGGTTTGGATCTCCAGTCGGTGAAAATCCGGAGATTTGATCTCGAATAGGTAAATATCCGGAGGTTGGATCTCAAATTATGAAATTTCCGGAGATATGATCTCGAATAGGTGAATGTCCGGAGATTGGATCTCGCATCGGTAAAAGTCCGGAGATTCTTGACGGTCTTATAACACGGAGATACCACCCATAGAAGACAATGATTGTCCTTCATATGTTTGAGAAGTTCAACATTTGAAATATGTTGAAATAAGTTGAAATTTTGTGAGTCATTTTCTTGAAAAATTGAGATATTTTATATATCCGATAATAGGAGTTCTTGTTGGAATCGGCTGGCTTTTTCTTGGCTTACAGATGTACTATTATCAATTTACAAGTCAGACAAACCTGCGTGTCACTGACAGCTTTATGGTGATTCCTACTTTGGGTTGTACACCAGCTGCACATGGTTACTATTCAATGTCTTTATAGAAGAATTGAACGTCTGCCGTTCTTCCTTATAAATGTCTTATCCATTTATACAATCATTAACGATCTAGTTCCTAACATGCATGTACACACTAACAATACACGAAACTATCCAAAATTGACGTGATGTGCAAATACCTTGAGCATTTGGCGATAATTACAAGGATGTTATTCTAATTGCAAGCAACACGCACCTGCAAACAGATTTTGGAGAATCAACTAGGCGGGTTTTGCTGGTTATTTTAAAAAGTACGGCATCCAACATATTTTTAAAAAGGTCACTATCAATGCTTAATTAATATGGCAAATCTGTAAAACAGGGACGATTCTGAATAACTGAATAACCCAAATTGTTAGATATATCATAAATAAGATAATTGATTAGTGACGATTCTAACAGCCAATATTCGCTGGTTTCTATAGCAACAGTTTTTCCAATACCGTTCTTGGAGAAAAATCAGGCCCTGCCATTTTGTCTATTCTATTATAATTTGTGTTTAGAAAATCTGCCACCATTGGAGAGATCAATTATTTTGAAGCAACAAGTTGATGTTCTCTATAAATAATGATGAACGAAACGAAAATGATCTATAACAAGTAACAAAAATACCATTGAAAAAATAATCAGAGAATATTACATAAAGAAAAGTAATCAAAGCATATGTGATCTTGCAGCTTGGTAAATTTTATTGGTTTGAAAACAGGAAGGACTTGTGAAATATCAACAAATGATCGTATCTTTTCTTTCTTTGGACATTAACTATGGACATTAAAATCTAACAATAAGGACTTTAATTAACGGTAAGTTAGAACATTTTGTTACATGTGTGAACAATTTACATCCACAGGTTTAATAGATAACACTTTAATTATACTATCAATTATCATCTCATTAATGTATAATAAACCATAAGGTTCAATTTAGCGTAGTTTAACAAACTTTTCTTATTGCTGAAAACGATCACAATTGCCTTTGCTAACAGCTTGGTACCAGGCCAGGCACTGAATACACCAGCGTCTTGTCAGGACTGGTACCAACCACAATATATATATTTTTATTGTGACATTGGGTGAAATTGAAAAAAAATCAAGACGACATCAAACAGTACTAAAATCTAGCATCCGGCAGTCAAGAGTCAGGTAGGACTGCACGTATATGCCTAGAATGGCATACCTCTGCACTGGCACAGACTGGAATACCTCTGCACTGACACAGACTGGCATACCTCTGCGCTGGCACAGACTGGCATACCTCTGAAATGGCATAGACTGGCATACTTCTGCACTGGCACAGACTGGCATACCTCTGCACTGGCGGCATAATACTGTTATGATTGGCGCCATAACATGTTATGAATACATGTAATATAATAAAAACAGTTTCCAATATTACGAGTGGGTGATATTAAATATTCATAAATTCATTGATGATCTAAATTGAGATTGAACACTGAACAATGTATTAAAACGATAAAGAGTAACACTTTACAAAACAGTATCAGACAACTTAACGCTTGGTATTTTACCTATAACCTGTCGTAATAGACCGTGATTAGGCATCTCCCAAATCAGCTTGCAAATTCGTGTTCTGACCAGTCTATATTCTATCGGAAGCTCAGTTTTTATTATGATATTGAATTATTTTGTAGTATGTTATTTAATTACCTAAAACTCTTATGAACTGCTGGGCAAATGCCTGAAACAAATTCTACAGTTTAATAGTTAAGGGTTAGTAAATACCTTAACATATGGCTCTTTATAACCAATCATTTAATTTCCTTTAGAAGAATAATCAACCATTTAGGCGAATATGATAAAAGTTTAAAGACATAGTAACTCTCAGAAATTAGTAATTTTTTTTTAGAAAAGACAAACATGGGTTTTATATTTCATTTGAGCCGTGCCATGACAAAACCAACATAATGGATTTGCGACCAGCATGGATCCAGACCAGACTGCGCATTCGCAAACGCACAATGTTGGTTTTGTCGTGACGCGGCTCATTTGTATTTCAATAACCGATTTATGGCATGTTAGATGACAATGTTTCAGCACTTCATGTACATTGAAGGAAATACAGTATCTATCTATAATAGATATAATAATTTGTCAAAGTGGTATTTTGACTTACCATCACTGTATTTTTATTAGATTCCAATATGGAAAAGATTCAATGAGTAACTTTTTGGAAACTAGCAGGACACCAAATATATTTTATTTTATTTTATTTTATTTTATTTTATTTTATTTTACTTTACTTTACTTTACTTTACTTTACTTTATTTATTTTTTTTTATTTTATATTTTATTTTACTTTTATTTTATTTTAATTTAATTTTTTTTTTATTTTATATTATTTTATTTATATATTTATTTATTTATTTATTTATTTTTATTTATTTTTATTTATTTATTTATTTATTTATTTATTTATTTATTTATTTATTTATTTATTTGTTGTTGGAAAAACAGAGTTTAACTTAAATCATTTTTAGGGCTTTCTTTTAGACAGAATGAAGTCTGTTAATGGAAAAATTTTAAGCGAAAATTAGCAGATGATCTTTTTGAGTTACCTGCCCTTGAATTTGATTAAAAAACAACTTATTTTAGGTCATTTTTAAAGACACCAAGAATGGAGGGGGCATGCTTAAAATTAATACTGAAAGGATTAACAGATTTGTTGTTATTTAGCATGGCGATTTCACGTAATGTCAACATTTTTGACACTATCAGTTGATATCAATTCACCAAGTTTGATAATTATGACAAAATATATTGATTAATTAGTTCCGTGAACAAATTTTGTTTGTTTGAGGATTAATACAGCCGACTTGACAGATCACGATGAATATTTAACTTTATACGCAGCTTTTTATATTGTCAGAATGTAAAATATTGATGGATCAATATGAGACCTAGCCATGGGCATAAATAATAATATATTAAAACGTCATCATCATCATCATCATCGTCATCGTCACCATCATCATCATCATCATCATCATCACCATCATCATCATCATTATCATCAGCATCATCACCGTCGTCATCATCATTGTCATCATCACCCAGACTATGGTTGCCTAGACAAGTCGCCAGCATTTATTGGTTCGATCCTAATAACCAAGTCCGCAAAAAGGGATAAAAACTGCACCCATTCTATATGTTTTTTTCTTCTTGTTTTTTTTATGAGAGACCAAATATGCATAAATGATTAGCACAATATAGCCAAACATAAAATGATTTAGCATGCTTTATCATCAATTGCGAATAGATAACATTAAACTTAACAGGTTATTAAGTAGTAAATACATGTATTATTGATTGAATACACAATCAAATTGTATCTCTATGTACACTATTTTCTCCACAGACCACTCTCAGTATGACATTTCATGCATTTGATTTTTTTTTCGATTTTTTTATGATTTTTTTCCTCTATCATTTGTACACATAGATTCAAACTTGAAATAGCAGGATAGCGTGAAAATCAAACTTTAGAAAAAATGTACTAAGATCTTTAAAAAAGTAAAAAGATTCAAGTAATAATTTAAATGTCATATGCGTTTACAGTATTTTTCACCATATTTGTACTGCGTGACTAACGCAGAAACGTCTATTTTTACATATTAATTCTGACCTATATTTGTGGTAATTTTCGTGTATCTTAAGTACTGCTATAATATAATAACTTTATGTTTTGATTTTTCATTCTAATCACCTTTTTGTGGATGAAGAGCTTTGCAATGAAATGAATATTCTGTTCTGTTATATTTTCAATCGGTATAAATAATTAAAGAACACGAACAATTTTTTTTCAGAGTGTATTCCGTACGGTAATTTTTAACTCACAATTGTTCAAATCTATTAACTTAGTCATAAATGGTTTATGTGTTTCAGTCTCGTACTTAACTTCATTTTTATCATCACTTTAAATACTTTTCATGAGCAACTTAGGACGTGATTATTTTATCTCTCAACTGAGGTTGTAGGGGGTTAGAGATAAACAAGCGTCTCAACTGATATGTACCCGCATGGTTTGTACATGTACATAGGTATACATATGACGAAGCTCATACGCTGTATCTTAATTAAGATATTTTATTTCCGTGATCAGTTATTCAAACAAGGACAAATATTCGAAGTTTCAGTACTTATAAAGACGATTTTAACATAAATGAACGTTACTCCGGGTCTTAATTATACTTGACACTGAATTAAAAGGTACGTGGACTTTGTTTGTTTAGTATTTGACATTTTATTGTTAGGTTAGTAAATAAAACATTTCCAAATTAAACATAAATTTACAAGTTTGTATGTGATGGCATTTGATAACTTTAAATTATTAAATTGTCATACACTGCCACACCGCTTTCTGTACTGTTGTTAATGTTGGTGGTTTTCAGAACAACAATAATGATGCAGATTTGTGGTTTTGGTGATGGTGTTGTTTATTTCTCTCTCGAGATTTCATTTGAAAATATTAAATTAATGAAATTATATAATGATGGATGTGCGTCGATTAAGTTGTATTTGTTGTTTTTGTTGTTGTTGTTGTTGTTGCTGCTGCTGCTGCTGCTGATGATGATGATGTGATGATGATGATGATGATGTAATGATGATTATGACGATTTTTTGTGAATTTTTTTAAAGTTATATTTAAATGAAAAATAAAACACCAAATATTTTGAAAACAGAAAGATTGACATCAATGAAGTATGCGAGGTTAGGCAAGCAGGAAGAATTTAAGTGATGTGGAAATAAATTCATTTCATTGTCAAACCAACTACACATTTTGCAGACAACAATGGATAACCTTTCGGTTGTAAGATGTCCCCAAATGTGACTTAAATTACCTCCCTTGAACTTTTTTTTCAATGGAAGTTACGGTATTGTAAATTATAATCGAGATTTAAAACGTAAATTGTGTCAAAACAAGAGACCCCAGCAATAATTTAGCTTACCAAGTGTTGATAAGTTTGTTTAACCTAAATTTTTAACAATAATTTATTGCACCATTTTAGCGTAATTTTATTACAGTACGATTATATGAATGTTATTCATCTATATCAAAGTTATTCTTTTTAAAATGGATATGTGCAATGTATGTATTGATGTTATGAACTGTACAATGATGAGACTTAAATAAAATGTTTAATCTTGACACAAAAGTGAAAGTAATAGTTTTGGATTTAAGGTAAATGCTGTATGGCACCTAAAAGTTTACAATATAGCCCTAATTATAAAAAATTGTTAAAGAACAGTTTCAGGTTTTTGCAAAATAGTTGTAGTAGTTTTAGTAATATATTATTTGTCATATTTTAGGGTTTACGCGCAGTTGTTGTTTTAGTCATAGTTATAGTTGTAGTTTTAGTCATAGTTGAAGTTTTAGTCCTAGATGTAGTTTATGCCATAGGCGTTGTTTCCGTCATAGTCTTAGTCATAGTTGTAGTTTAAGCAATAGTTTTAGTTTTAGTCATAGCTGTAGTTTAAGCAATAGTTTTAGTTTAGGTCATAGCTGTAGTTTAAGCAATAGTTTTAGTTTTAGTCATAGCTGTAGTTTAAGCAATAGTTTTAGTTGTAGTCATAGTTGTAGTTTAAGCAATAGTTTTAGTTGTAGTCATAGTTGTAGTTTAAGCAATAGTTTTAGTATTAGTCATAGTTGTAGTTTAATCAATAGTTTTAGTTTTAGTCATAGTTGTAGTTTAAGCAATAGTTTCAGTCATAGCTGTAGTTTAAGCAATAGTTTTAGTTTTAGTCATAGTTGTAGTTTAAGCAATAGTTTTAGTTTTAGTCATAGT